GAGAAAAAGCAACATGAGCCTGGCCCAAGTCTCATCTGCTCCTGTTTTAACACTGTTCTGGACAAATGGTTTTATTACCATTTATTACCATTTCATGCTACTGCTTTGGGAAGCTGGAAAGCAGAAGGGAAGGTTGGAGTTCTTTGTGGACTTGGTACCACCACCGACTCACATTTGGAAGGTTACAACTTCAATAATTTTAATTTTCCACGGAGTTGAGTTCTGAGATTTAGGTTATGTCCTCCTTACTGAGTTCTATTTTTTAATTAATAATACCATTTACAGAGAGGTGGTTTCTAAAGCAGGCTGTCCAGCTCCTGCCTATGTAATGGCTGCATCATATTGTGGCAGTTTATTTCGTGTGAGTGGTGAATAAATTTTGTGCTAGATGGAAAACAACTTTGAGTCAAGGCAGGAGTTTGGCTGCAGTGTTAGTCTGAAGTGGATAGTCTGAAGTGTTAACAGCAGACCTAGAAAATTGAAGTTACTCACTCTGTTTTTGCAGAGAAGTAGGCTCTGCCCTTGCACCTTCTGGAACAACCAAAGGCTAAATTAGTCCTCTTTTAATTAAGCCAAGTTCAGGGAGAATCCAGCGTGCTAATACAGCATTACATGCCAGAACTTGCTTTCCCTGGGTGGGAAAGGTCCTCCTGTGGTGGGAAGAAGTGGCCCCAAATCCTCTTGTGTGTCCAGGGAGCTGAAAAGGTGCCTCTCCCTGTTGTTACCAAAGCCTTTGGAGAAGGCATTTTCTCAGAGCATATTTGCACATGTGCGTGTGAGTTGTCAGAAAGTCTTTATTTTTAGTGTTCAGAAAATGGATGAGCGTGGACGCGCACAACAAATTAATTTCCAGTCTAGAAAAGCAAGAGCTCCTGCAGTGCTCCTTCTCTTGCAGCCTTTTTCACAGGTTTCTCTATCTGTTACCAATGTGCTGTTGAATTCCAGCCTTTCTTCCACGTTTGGTTGTACTCCAGAAGGAACAAGAGGGCTTTTTCCTCACTCTGCAGCATCTAGATTAATTTCAACTGAGCTTACAAATTAAGTTACAAGTTCTGGCACAATGGCTTTACTGGGGGCTTGTAAGGTGTGAAGGAGAGTGCTGATTGCTGGAGTTTAATAGCTGGGGGTTTTTTTCCATTTGATTCTTGGAATGGTGGTAGCTAGTTTCATCTTGTGTTAATAATGATAAATTTTTAGAGAGTTATGTCAGAGCTTCACTTGCTGGCAGGGGTTTGCACCGAGTGCCTCTTGCTGAGCCTGCTCGATGCTGGCTGAGGGTTGGAGATGGTTTGTAGTGCATTGCCTGCTCCATGGAACAGCTGATCACAGGGATTTCCTGAAGAAATAGTTACAGGCAGTGTCCTCTGGTTTATCCTTTGGCTCTGGTAATTGTTCCTGCCTCTAGGAGTTGCATGATCAGATCAATTAAAACTCTGTAACTTTTACATATGTTTGGTACAGGTCAGTTTTCTGAGTTCTGCCTAAATCCCTCTCTGTACATGACCCATAGGAGCCAAATCAGCTGAATGATTGTCCTGGCAGTACTCTGTGCCTACTAATTAATGAGGAAAACAACTGTGTCACTTAGCAGCAATTAGGGAGGTAGAACTTTCCAGAGGATGCTGCCAGTGGAACCTGATGTCAGCCCATAGTGCTGCTGAAACGTTCCCCTTTGTGAGCCTCCAGGAAGAGTTCCCTGGTGTTGCTGGGGTCCCAGAAACTGTAGTTTTGGTAACTGGAATCCTGTCCAAAGCTCCAGCAGTAGGAGATTGTTTTGTTACTGCTCTTGGAAGAAAAAGGAACTGCTTCCTGTTGAAATATTGCTTTGGCTTTAGGGCAGACCTGGAGGGATATTCCTCCAAAGAAAATCCCCCTGCCTTTCCTGCACTCCCTGCTCAGCCTGAACTGTCAGTTTGGGGAAGAGGTGCAAGCAGAAGAGTTTTGTCGTTGGTTTCTGTTTGTTGTGTGTGTACAGACAAGTTGGTTTGGCAGTGCCTGGTTATATTGCAGCCATTTTTATCGGGCTGTGTCAGGAGTCCTTGGCACTGGCAGTGAGGATATCCTCAGGGTTTATGGGTGCTGGGAGCAGTGGCAGAAGCTGCAGGCATGGGAAAGAGGCAGAGCCTGCCCTCAGCTGCAGGGGCTTGGGTGTCTTGCTGATGTTGCTGCCCTCTGTGGCTACATGGCCTCATCCAAGGTCAGCTTTGGGGTCTTTGTGTTTTGGGGTCTTTCCCTTTGCTCCATGTGCTGTTGACTAACTTAGCTCTGAAAATAATAGTGTTCATGATCTTGGGGAATTGTCTGCATAGAATGCCTGTCACTGCTGCTGGAGGTGATCCCAGTGTTCTGCCCCAGTCCATGTGCTGTTGCCAGTACTGATATTTGGCAAAGGACAGGTGCCCAACCAGGCTGAGATGCTGGAGACCCATAGAGGGTTTGTGTGAGCTCTGCTAAAATTCAGCTGTTAGACATCTGAATGAAAAGGAAGACAAAGCATGACAGACCTTCTGCCAGGAGAGTGTGTGGCACCAGAGCCACTGCCAGGGCACCCTGGAGGGTGACAGACATGTTACACGCTGCTTCCCGAGGTGGGAAAGTGGGACAGTGAAGTTTGCCCCAAGACTGTGAAGAGTATCATAAAACAAGGAGTTACAGTAAAACCATTCCTGTGGCTTCCATATAGATTGTGATCCTCATTACAGAGGATGAATTCTTCATTGGCAGGAATCGTGAGGAATTCAGAGAGGAATCAGTGGAGCTGATGTAGGAAGAGCCAATCTAAATTTAGGATGTTTCTAATGCAAAATTACTCCAAGATGTTTCTTCCAGTATAACTAAACCTGTCAACTGCTTTCCTTGCAGACTGGCCATGTCTTGTTTTGAATTAATTACAACAGTTCATGTTTCTTTTTTAAGGGAATGTTGAGGTCATTACATTATCATTTGTTATTTCTCTACAGTCGGACACAACCAGCTATTTAAAAGAAATCTGGAAAATAATTTTAGTGGAAAATGCAGTTAAATCAGACTGTGCTGTTCCAAAACAATACCCAGAAAAAAGTTTGATTTCGAACCTAAGCCTTTTTTTTTTTTTTAACTCAAATTTTAAAATCTGCTTTTCTGTCGATGTTGTCCCTTTAGTAGGGAAATGATCTTCAGGAAAGGATATAAAATGTTAATTTTGTTAATCCAGGCTTGTTTCTATTTTAGCTGTAAAATCATAGAAAAATATAGGTTACAAGGGACTTCTGGAGGTCATTTGTTCCGTACTTATATTGCTGAAGTTTCAGCATCATGAGAACATAGAAATCAGGTTTCTTTTGTGAGATAGAGCATATTTTTTAATGGAGTTGATTACTATTATTTCTTTTAAAAGTAAGCTGAATGTTGATTGATGTTGACTGCCAGCAGGCAGTACTGTAATATTTAGGCATGTCTTGATTTTTTAATTTCAGTGTTTTTCCAGTATTAGATATTCTCCAAACTCTGAAGGAGCAAGTGCGCTTCCCTGGGAGGATTACAGGGCTGGGTGAAGGAAATCATCAACAATTTTATCTGATAATTGTAATTCTTGCTTACCCTACCAAATCACATTTTACACTCACGATTTCAGAGGCTGGGTTTAAGCTTTCTGCTGTGAAAGGTAACATCTTGCTTGCAGTTGTAGATAAAAGAAGGGGAATAACCTTTCGATTCCAGACTCTGTGCTGTAATTCTGCTCTTCTCCACTGACAGAGCTTTTCTTCTCTCACAACAAACCCGCTGCTGTCTCAGCCTGTTTACAGTCTTAGGCTGGCACAATCACCACTGTAATGAGCTTACGTGGGGAAAGTAGAAGTGAGAGGAAAGTCTCTAGACCTGTTTGGCCAATCTGTCCACTTTGCTTTCTCCTCGAGAGGAAGGTGAGCTTCTCTGGAATTCATAAAGCTACAGAAATGTTTTCTTGGCTCTTTGAGTTCAGCTTGCTGCAGTTCAGGACCTGTTTTGCTCCTTTGGGACTGCTGTGGGCTCACTGAAGCAGAGTTCAGGTGGGTCATTGGGAATAACCAGGTTTATGTGATGTTGAACAAGGTTTTCTGGGCTCACTCCACTCTCTCTGGATGAACTTGGATCTTCCTGGCAATAGAGTGTTCACACTGAGGGCAAGGCATGCTGTTAACAGCAATCCACAGGGAAGCCAGTGTCAAGCAGTGTTTGTGTTCTTGGGTACATTATTTATACTCCAAACCTTATCCACAAAGGTCATCACTCGGATAGCACTTGTGAATTCCTTGGGACACCAGTCTTCTGGGAAGCTCTTGGCTTTCAGCTCACTGGGAGCCTGTATAAGTGCTGCATCATACTGGGACAACTTCATAGGTTTTAAATTCTGAATGAGTAATTGCTTGAGAGAAGTTCCATGCCAAGAACATTTCCATTTAAAAGGAGAAAAAAAATCATTCCGGTATCTCAGTTATTCTGGGGGAAAAAAAAAAAAAGGCAAATTTTACTAGGGGCGAAGTAGGTGTGTTTCTCAGAAACTAATCTGCATGGATTTCTTAACTGTGTTTTGTTGCTACTTGCTCTAAGTGCATGCATCTGGAAGGACAGAGGGTGTAGGAAATTCCTGTACTAATTGGAGTAGGTGCTGGAAGTATGGATCCTTCACAAAATATCAAATTCCCTATAGGGATGCCTTTAGAATTAGAGCGCATTGTAAGGATGATAACATCCCTTTTTAAAAATGAGGGGATTTGTAACTGGTTTAGATTGAAATGTTTTAAAAATCAGAGTCAAAGAGAACACTGAGAGGCTTTTTACCGTTTTATTGAACTTTAGACACAAAATATCTAAGCTTGCCAAGCTGTTCAGACAACAGGCTACTGTTAGAAGAATTCAAACTTTTAAGAACTGATCTTTTTTAATTAGTAGGCCTTCCAATTAAAAAATTCCTATATGGTGGCAGCGCAATTATTTGTCTCTGGGCTGGGGCTCTGGATACTGCCCTGGAGTCTGTCAGCAGGACAGGAGCTGTGTTTGGCTCTGTTCTTGTCTGGGATGAGCAGGGCTCCTCTTGATAAGGCTGCTGCGTAAGAAATCAGCTAATTATCAGTTTGTTAATACTCCAACGGCATTTTTGAGGACAGGCCTGTGTGGGAGAAGCCAACAGTGAAACTTTGGCGTGGTGTTCCTTTGCTGTAGCTGTCATGTGAGCCCTTTTGGGTGCTATCTGTCCAAGGGGTGTCACCACAGGGGCTGATTGAGGAGCCCTGCTCTGTGTCCTTGCACACGCAGGCCTTGGCAGTGAACAGCATGTCAGGCTGTGGCTGGGAGCTTTGTCTTCCTCTCTTTGTGACCTCTGGTACATTGCCTAAAAGCTCATGGTTGTTTCCTAGTTAAAGACTTCTCTACCAGAGAAATTAAAATTTTAATGTTGTTTCTGGAGATGCTTAAGGCTACACTGGACCCTGATCTCACCACGTCTACTTTGATTAGGTGATGTTGAACAGACTCTCCCAATATAAATTTTTCTATCATCCTGTCATCAATGCAGGAATTAATAAATGACAAAATTTGTTTGGATTCTGCAGAAATAGAACTTATCCTTTATAACAAGCTCAGGGCACTTCTCTAGGTGCAATCGCTGCTCATGCTGTAGATTTTTCTGCTTTAAAACTGCAGGCTAAACTGATGCTTGCATGTCAACACCTGTCCCCATTATCTGTCCTTATTTGTGTCATTCCCTTCTGCCAAGGAGCTTGGATCCAGTGCAAAATAATCCCCCTCCAGGGGCACTGAAGGCAAAAATCTATACAAATTCCTTGGCAGTTTTGAGCAGAGAGTGAGCAGCTTTCAGGCAGGGTAAGTTTGTGTATGTCTGTAAGTCTGTTTGCTTTAAAATTTAGTTATCTGTACAGATTCTCTCCCCTTCCTGTGTAAAGAATAGTAGACAATAATACCTACCCTCGTAAATAGACATTGTGTGCCATTCTTAGAAGCTGCAGTTGATGATTTCCTGAAAAAGCCTTTCTCTGAACAGCCTGTTACAATGTGCTGCTTGAGCTAGGCTAGAGCTACGTGACAAAAAATAGCCACTGTGAAATTTGATCTATCTTTAGATAATGTGATTGATTTTTCTTTTTTTTTTTGTGCTGAAACTGATCTTGCTAAGTTGGGTGAGGGGAGCAGTCACGTGTGCTTTATTTATACTGGATTGTGCTTAAAAATTAAAATTGCTAAGTCATCTGAGACATATATAAATTCAGTTAATTCCTTCACAAGGAGTATTGGGCAGAGGAAATGGGCCAGTGCATCTCCTGCCAGAAGGACAGGGAGTGAGAAGAAACACAAACATAGTGATTGAACTTTGAAATCTAATAAATTTCACTGTACTAAACTGTTCTAGTAAACTTGCATGCTCTAGTAATGCCTGGGGACATCTAATTTCTAAGTGTCTGAGTCATGCCACATAAATGCTTTGAGGTCTTAGATGATTGCTGCCTCATCTTCTGAAATTGTATTTTGTGAGAGGACTAGCATTTTATCTAGGAATAGACTTATTATATTTTGAGGAATGCTACATATTCTTCCATTAGCTGGACACGCAGCTGAAGTGCCTCATCCTTCTTTTATGGGGCTAAGGCCTCAGTCACTTTTCCATATTGGATTTTGGGATAGTGCTGTGTCCCTGTTTACCCTTTGGACTGGATTACTGCAACCCTGTCTACCTGAAGCTGCCACCAACACCATTTGTGTGTCAGTAGGTCAAAAAATATCCCAGTGCTGAGCCCTGTCCCACCCAAGGAGGCTTTGTCCATGTCAGAGAGCCCTTGCATGCTCTTCTGCCTTTGGAAGCAGGACCAGCTGCTGGTCAGGTTGTGTGACACAGTGAAGGACATCAGACTTGTGTCCCCCAGGTCCTCCACCACCTTCACAGCCAGTGGGTCTTGCTGGGTCCTCACAGGAGCTGAAGTGCTGCAGACCTCACATAAACAGCAGGACTCTGCCTCTAGAGCAGGATTTTGCTTCTAGAGTTTTCTTCTCTTGTGACGTGCCCTAGTAGCTTAAGCCAAGTGCTCCGAGCAGATTTCTTGGTCTTTCTCATTAATGTGTGATTAATGGGGCTGTTACTTCCTTCTGCAGGCTGGCAGTTGCCCATTTTCTCTGAAGGGATAAAATTGGCACAGCAAATAAGTGTATTAGTTTAGATAACAGTGTTGCCCACTGTTTGAGCACATACCCAGGGCTGGATGGCCCTGCCACGTGCTGCTACACACCAAACAATGCTGTTCCCTGCTCCAATACAGCTCCCTTGCTTGTAAGTTATTTCAAAAGCTGACAAGGGGATTCTTGTATTTAAACATCTTCCCCTTGTGAAAGATTTGAGACATGTAAAGGCACCACATTTATCTTGGGTAGGACAATATTGATACAGAACTGTAGTGAGTTACTGCTGTCCTAAATATTCAGATCTGGATGATAAAGTATTCAGACATATAGGATAAAGATACAGTGTTTGTCACTGATATACAACTTTACAAAGGAACTTTCTTTTGAGTGGTTTTGACCAGTCTCAATACTGATAAAACTTATCAGAAGCTTTGCAAAAATTGCCTTGGAAGAAGGAAGGATTGAAGGTACTTTGGGCTAGCAGAATGCAAAGGAACATCTTCAGACCCTCACAGCAGTGCATTTCTTTCATGTTTGAATAAAGCATCATAATCCAACACAGATGCTGCTGTCTTTTGGACAGTCAGATTTAATGCTTTGACTGTAGGAAGTTGTGACTAAAGCTGGTTTCCATCCCAGCAGAATTGATTTTGTTACATTGGACGGCCCAAGACTTGTGATGGGGGTGAGACTGCAGCCTGTAGCTGTTGGTTTCAGTCTGGAGTCGAAAGGAGGGGATCTGTCTGCAGATAGAGAGCACATGGCATTCTTTCCTTTGGAAAGTTACCTCCACAACCAGCAGCTGGAAACAAGGTGCTGAAAATTACCAGGTCAGCACATTGGTTTGCTAGGGGCCGGTCCTGTGTGAAGGAGAGCAGACAAATGGCTTTCAAGAAATCCCAGGCCTGTGGCTGGGCAGGCTCCGGCCTTTGCAGCAGCTTTTAATGATTAGCTTAAATACTTTTGAAGTACCTTGAGAATTTAACCTGTGGTTGATGTTCTGTCTGCAGGTGGAGGAATCTGAGGCCTTTCTCCTCTGTCAGCACTGCAGAGCAGGTCGCCTCTGATTTCACATCTCGCTTCCGCCTGCCAAGCTGTCTGATATGTCGGGACCCGTGCCGAGCAGGGCCAGAGTTTACACGGATGTGAACACACACAGACCCCGGGAGTACTGGGACTATGAGTCTCACGTGGTTGAGTGGGGGTAAGTCTGGGCTGCCTCTGCATGTCCCTACACCAGGAGCAGTCCCTGTGGAGCCTGCCTAGTGGTATTTGGGGAGTTCAGGCAACTGTGCTGCGTGAGGCTTTTTCACGCTTCTTGGCAGATGGCAAGGGAAAGGATCACAACTTCTCTTCAGAAAAATATTTCTTATCAAACTTTTAAATTCCCAGTTGTGGGAGAACGTTTATAGCAGCTTCCTTTAAAGTTTGAAGAAGTTTTGCCAGGTAGTAGAGAAACATCCCCTTTCAGAGGGAAGAAAATCTATTTCTGAAACAATCCAAACAGTCCTTGAGTGCAGGGCTGAAAAGAAATGAAAAGACTTTCAAACTGAAGTTGCTGCTGACTTGGATAAGTGAAGAAGCTCCACAGACTTAAATAGGTACATGCTATTTTATGACTTGTTGCTCAGCTCTCTGCAAGTGCCTGGGAAAGACATGGCTGCCTCTCTTTGAAGGAAAGAGGTGTCTAAAATGAGCTCATGACTAAAGTGTCCCAGAATCAGACAGCAGTGGAGGCAGCTTCATAGCTCTGCGTTCCTGCTGGGATGTGGAGGGCCCAGACAGAGTTCTGCCCTCAGCTGTGCAGTTCCCAGTTTCTGGAATGTACACATTCGTCTGAGCATAAGTGCTGCTTTGTGCCCAGACTGTTTTTAAACAACCTTGCACTTAAATTTTTCCTCCTACTGGCTTTGTTGAATTTTACCAGCATTATACAAGGAAAAATGGAACTTCCAAATATTGAGAGAAGGGATAGTTCATGTTTGCTAATGCTGAAATACATAGTTGGGCTTTCAATCCATACTTTTGGATTGAATCTGTCTTTGGCAAACAGAAGTTCCCTGTTTCTCTTGTAGTTCTTAAATCATCCAGTTCAGGAGAGGTAAGGCACTAGTTGATCCCCTTTGTCTGTGAAGTTAGGCAGTGATTGAGTGTTAAGGAGCAGTTTATAAATGATGATGGAAATGACTGAGCCCTTTGGAACTCTAACCTTTTCTCTTCACAGAAATCAAGATGACTACCAACTAGTTCGAAAATTAGGCCGAGGCAAATACAGTGAAGTATTTGAAGCCATCAACATTACAAATAATGAAAAAGTAGTTGTTAAAATTCTCAAGGTGAGCTGGGGATTGGGCAAAAGATAAAATCTGTCTTGAGGTGATCAGGAGGCCAGAAAGGGCTTTTTGATGTTCTAAAACTGAAATCCTTAAAGCCTGGCTTTGGAATGTCACTCAATGAAACAGGCCATGGGTTTGAGCCTCCTGATATAAGCCCTGCAGTTAAGTCAGATCTCTGCCTGTAAGGAATTAGGCTCTGTCTTAAAGAAGCCCTGATGTGCAACACCTTTTTACTTGGAACTAAACGTTTCAGCAGCTGACTACTACTAAAATTCTCAGCTTCTCTAAGTGCTGGTGTCCTGGCAGGCTGTCACGGCCTTGACCTTCATTTAGTGACCCTCCAATAGCCCATAGGCTTCTCATAGTTAAACATTTGCCACATGCCAGTTAAGAAGTCTTGGAGTATCACAGAACTGTTTGGGTAGGAAAATCACTCAAAGATCATCCAGCCAACACCCCAGCATTCATGTCCCCAGGTGCCACATCTTCTAAATCTATTCAAGGATGGTGTCCTCACCACTGGAGCAGCCTGTTCCAGGTATTGACAACCCTTTCTATGAAGAAATTTTTTCCTGGCATTACTTGAGGCCATTTCCTCTTGGTCTATCAGATTATGTTCAGAGAATTGTTGGTTTTTTTTTTTAAATGCCATCTTCCAGCCTCTCCTTCACTTGGAGTTATTGTCTGTAGCTGTCAGGATTGTGTGGTTAGAAAGGAGACAGCAGATATTTGAGCCTTTACTGGTGTGATGCATACTCAGGTTAAATTGCAAATGTTTCAATATATTCTGCTGATCTGCAGTCACCTGGGTGTTGTCATCTGGCTGTTGAGCTATTAGCCTCACTTTACTGCAGGGCTTTATCTTACACTTTGGGTTTTTATTCTTCAGCCTGTTAAAAAGAAGAAAATCAAGCGTGAAATCAAGATCTTAGAGAACTTGCGAGGCGGTCCCAATATAATCACTCTTGCAGATATAGTAAAAGATCCAGTGGTGAGTAAGGGAGAAACTCAGGGGGTACACTGGGGTTATGGGGGAAGTTGCTCTGTTTGATTTCAGCTCTGACCTGGCTTTTTGTTTTCCCCTGCTCTTAAATCCTGCTTTTGAATTGACTGATCAGATCATCTCTTAATCTGATAAACTTCTTTTAGAGGGCCCTTCCCCCACAGGTCCCTGCAGCCCCTCACTCTGTGAGGAAGAGATACCAGCGAGCTGAGACAAGTTAATTCGCTCTGCAAACAGTGCTGCTGGAGGCTGTGGGCTTAGGCTCTGCTCTGTCTGTCTGAGGGGAATCAGAAATATGTCCAAGGCAGAGGGATTTTGTGTAGTTTTTGTAGAAAAAAAAGATGCAATTCATTATCCTAAGTGGAAACATAACTTAACATGGCTGAATACTTTTTTTCGCTTTCAGTCTCGAACACCCGCTCTGGTTTTTGAACACGTAAACAACACAGACTTTAAGGTACAGTGTGAGATGTGACTTGTCTTTTTTTTTGGTGTTTGAAAACCACTCATACTTTCTGGGGAAGGGCAAGTACATAGGATGGGCATTTCCTTCCAGCATAGGAAATGCTTTTAAAGGTAAATGCATTTGGGACAGAACTTTGTAATTAGCCCATCAGTACCATTTTGCCACAAAAGTTACAAGATGAGAATGCAGGTTCCAAGAGGTATTTAACCTTGGGAGCAAGTGAATCTGTTACCTTGTGGCCCACCAGTGCCTGTGTTTTTGAGGCATTTGGCATTTATGTATACAACTATTTATTGGAACCTATTTAAATGTGGACAGCTGTTTCTGTGGCCTTCCATACTCCTGGGAATGGGGATTTAAATGTTTCTTTGTCCCTTCATACTGACCTGCCTCAGAAGAAGAAAAGCTGTGCAATGCCATCCATCGTGCTTGTGCTGGGTGGGTACAACCAGAGCGAGATAGTGACAGGGCCAGGATGTGCTGTCTGAGCAGAGCTGGAAGTAAACTATGTATGGGATTTGCAAAGGGAGAGGAACAGAGTCAGGTGTGGGATCAGAGTAACTTGAGAAACTTGGTTTATACCTTCAGATGGGTTTGGAGAATGCCAGCAGCCCAGAACAGGGGTTTTTTGGATGTTAAACACTGACATGATGTGTTTATGTCCCACAGCAATTATACCAGACATTAACAGATTATGATATTCGATTCTACATGTATGAGATTTTGAAGGTAAGTTGGTGTTTCGCTGTTTTGTTGGTTTCTTTCTAGTATTTACTCTCAGCTAATCCTGTAGAGATGGTTCTCATGTCACTGGTGATAGTGGCATCATATCACTAAGGGAAGGAGAGTCCATGGAAGAATTGGGCAGAAAAATATCAAGTCAGTATCTGTTTTCAGCATTTTGTTATATTGAGATACCTTAAAATCCTAAATCAGGAGTACATGTAGCCTCTGAAAAAAGAAAACTGTGAGCTGTTACTGGCTGGGTTTGTGCTCAGATATAATGTGAGTCAAATGTTTTCATCCATTCTTCTGAACTAAATAATTTCTCCTTAGGAGTCTGGAGAAAGGGGGCTTGTGTGATCATTAGTGCCTAGTAACTATGCTCTTAGAGACTCTGAAATTCCAATTTTTATGAGGAAGCACATGAAGTAAACTAAAGACACTTGTGCTGCTGGGACCTCCCTTTGGGAGGGCGCTCTAGAAGCATTTTCTGTGATCAGTGAGTCTAGTCCAGGATCTAACACTGGACAGTCCTGTCATCTAGTTAGACTTGATATGTGTGGAAATACTTTTGAATATGGTTAACTTGACACATTCTTGTGACTCCAGCATCTGTTTCCTTTCACCTGCAGGCTCTAGATTACTGCCATAGCATGGGAATCATGCACAGAGATGTCAAACCTCACAATGTCATGATTGACCATGAGCACAGAAAGGTAGTGTGGGCTGGCTGGGGGGCAGGGCAGGGTCCTGCTTTTCTTTTGGCAAACTGGGATCCCTTTTGGGTACTCCTGTGTAGTGGTACTAGCAGACCTCTTTGAGGAAGACTCTGCTCTAATGGTGTGGACAAATGTAAAATGAGAATATTGTGCTGCTTTCTGAGGCTTTACTTGGTCACATGTAACCCTCAGGCAGGGTTGTAAGGAGAGGTATTTTATTTAGTCTGCTTGGTGATACGGGTTTGGGGAGAATATGTAACCAGACACTCTGATCAAATTAATTGAAAATGGAAGACTTATAAATTAACTTCATACTAAGTTCAGCAGTGTCATTCAGCCAGTGGTAAGATGGAGCATCCCTTGAGCCTTTTTTCTTTGTTTTCTACCATTTTTAGCTTAGACTAATAGACTGGGGTTTGGCTGAATTCTATCACCCTGGCCAGGAGTACAATGTCAGAGTGGCTTCCAGATATTTCAAAGGACCTGAACTTCTTGTAGATTATCAGGTAAGAGTTACCAGGACTTCTTACTGGCTTTGATATGGAAAGTCAGTGCCATTTCAAGGTAATAAACCCAAAATTCAGATGTCTAGAGAGCTGAAGCTAAAGACAGTCTGTTCCAAAATGTATGGCAGAAAGCAGTGGCCATAAAACCACTGAATGAAAGAAATGTGTAGTCTCAGGACCTGAGGAAGAGCTGCAGAACTATCATTATGGACCTTGGAATACAAATGTTGAATATTTTTTTAGCAAGGCTGTGTTTGCAGTAAGGTACAGGAATGAAACAAAGCCCCTGTGGGAACAGCAAGTACTGCATGAACTTCTAAATTAAGCTATAAAAGCATCCCCTTATCTGATGGCAGTTTGCATTATGGAAATCACACTGTTCCTGGTGACTTTCAGACCATGCTGGTTCTGGAAAAAAAACACATCCTCACCTGTCCATGGACCCTGGGGAGTCCACACCTTTTGTTGTTTGTTCCAATGCTTCCTTTCCCAACACACATTTCTCAGTGGTTTATAACATTGGAGTCTGCAGTGAAAATAGAAGAAAGCTCTGATTTTTAATATCCTGGCAGACAGGGATGGAATTAGGATACCTGCTGTCCTGCTAATTGCTGTATCCCAGTTTGAGTAACTGGAACACTGAGCTGAGCAGTGGTTTAGGAATGAAGATACATGAAGATAGTTCAATTTGTTTCCAGCATGACATGGCTGTGTTCATATCACCTTGGCGGGGTGGGGGAACCCTGTTAGTTTTGGAGGTCTGTTCTGCTTAATTCATTAGAAATTGAATTGTCCTTCTGGTTTTGTACAGATGTATGATTACAGTCTGGATATGTGGAGCTTGGGTTGCATGTTGGCTAGTATGATATTCCGAAAGGAGCCATTTTTCCATGGCCATGACAACTATGATCAGGTGAGAGCTGGTCATGTACAATGTCTGTTCTTTTAGCACCCTGAAGATTTCCTGCTTAGGCTTCTATCGAGTCATCCAGAGAATTTTTAAGCCTTTCTCTAATGGCTTCTTAGCTCAGTTTGAAGCCACATTCCTTTTCTCAAGTGTGCAAGATTATGTAACCAATTAAATAGAAATGGATTTATAGAGCTTTGTACTTAGGAGCTCCTCAGTAGGTGTCTGAGAAAAGCTGTAGAAATAGTTATATTAAGGCTGGTGTGTTCTAGTACATAGTTTGACTATTCCTGAGGTTATGTTATGTGGAAAGCCCCTGCCACTACTCACTCTCCCCCCACTCTATATAGAAACTTGGTAGAATTTGGTACAGCTTTATACAGATTCTGAAATCTTTGATGTGTTGCCTTTGGGCCAAAATTTTTATTTTTAAACTTTTATCACATGCTCAGCATGTGACTGCCATGCAAATATTCTGGAACAGGGACCTTCTATTCTCAAACCTTTATTCTGGAGCTCTCTGGGGTGGTGCTTCACCTTTCACATGCAAGATCCAGAGTTTCTTTCTTTACCAGTTACTCTTGCCTTCCCCTCTGTTGGTTCTGAATATTTTCGTGCTACTAAGGAAGGTAGTGTTGCAAGGTCTCAGGTTTTAGAGATTTTAGGGTCTGTGGCTCCCTCCTGGCTGCCTTGGGGTACTGAGCTCCAGCTGTGAGTGGAGGCATGTTCCTGATGCCTGGGACTGTGTGGCTGGGGAAGCCAGAGCCACAGGCTGACCCTGTGGCCTCTGATTCATACTGCTGGGATCAGGTTCCAGCTCCCATGGGATTGTGCTGCTCTATCTTCATGCAGGCTCTGGTATTATCATACCTTCACAGCAGTGACTTGTTTTTGTTTGTTCCCAGCTGGTGAGGATAGCCAAGGTTCTGGGGACAGAAGATCTGTATGACTACATTGACAAATACAACATTGAGCTGGATCCACGTTTCAATGACATTTTGGGCAGGTGAGCCAAGGTCTGGAGTCTCTTTGGTAGATCCAGACAGTTACAGCTTTGTCAACAGACCTTGAAATGAACAAAAATTTGTGGGAGAAATCAGAGCCAGGATTCTGGAGAACTGACACATTGTGCCTTTGGTCCCTTTTGCCAGTGCTTTCCATAGTCCTTTATATGGAAATGGACCTGAGGAAAGATTTTTAAATGTCATTCAGGCAATAAAGGAGCTACTGGAGCAGAAAGCATGAAGGGCAAATGCTCTCTTCAGTCTGGAGGGGAAAAAACAAAATGATGTTTCTCAGCATTAGAGTGCAGAAAGTCAGGTGCTGCTAAAGATGGAATCTATATTTTTTTTTTCTCCTCATAGTAGAACTGAAATTTAAGGAACTCATGTTGGGTGCAGAAGAGATGACAGAACCTGCAATTCTAGGCCTGTAATCCATTCTGAGCATTAGTCCTGCTGCTGTCTGGGGTCATGGCAGGGCCATGCAGGGGCTGAGGTGGCCGAGGTGGCTGTGCTGGGGCTGTGACTGCTGTGCCACCGCGTGGAGACACAGTGACACTGCTTCATCTTCTGGAATGTCTCAGTCCCGTGGCTGCTGCACGGAGCAGTGGCCTCCCTCAGGGCTGGACATCTGTCACAGCTCTTGCTCCTTAAGAAAGTGAGTTTTGGCATCACTGTCCCCTGGCTGGCCTGATTTGGGTCTGTTTTCCTGCAGACACTCCCGTAAGCGATGGGAGCGCTTTGTCCACAGTGAGAACCAACACCTGGTGAGTCCAGAAGCTCTGGATTTCTTAGACAAGCTGCTGCGATATGACCACCAGTCACGACTCACAGCAAGAGAAGCCATGGAACACCCCTACTTCTGTAAGTATCAGCTGCTGTCCTGAGAGTTCTGCCTCTGGGAAATATCTGTTCCCATGCCTTGTGCAGATGGGAGCTGAGAATGGCAACAATGATAAGCCTGGTCTGCAAATATTTGTGCTGGAGCTGAGGCTGCTAGTCTCTGTGTGCCACCTCCGCCAGCCAAGGAATGAGTGTTGGGTGCCTGTGTCAGGCCCATGAATCAGCAAGTAATATCAAGGAAAGTCGCCTAACTCATGTGATTTGGGGTTGCTTTCTGCAGGTGTGCATGGATTCCTCTGTTTGAATAAACCCAGAGAATTCTGGTTTGTTGATAAACAGGTGTTTTAACTCCTTCTGTTGCTAAATTGCTTAGCTACTGCTATATTCAGGTCTTGATTTTGCAAGCAAAAATGTTACTTTCACTAGTAAATGCTTTTAAGTGGTTGCTGTTTTTCACAGATATTGATATCTAGGGGTTTGAAGCAGCTGCAACAAGGCAGAATGTCAATATTTGCTCGAGTAGTTTGGTTTTGGGGTTTTTTTAGCTGCTGCTGAAGGGACTCGTGTAATTAACAGACTGTTGATCTGTGTTACACCTGTTGGGAAAATCCCAGGGAAATGTTTTTCAAGTATGAGCATTAGAGAAGCCAATAGCTTGGAATGTGAGAGCTGGACAAACAGTTCATTAACTTGTGTTCACAAAAAGATACACATAGTGCTGAGCTCAGCAAAGTTTGGAATTCCCTTGTCTGACACAGAAGGCCTGGGAGGCAGGAAGGAGTTGTCCCTGTTCAGATGAGAGCCTTATTTACATGCAGCTGAAAATCAAGAGTTAGTAAGTTGTGATCATCTCATGGGTGACAGGTTCTAGTGACACACCTGACAGCTCACAGAGATGTAAGATGTATGCAGGGACATGACACATGATTGTAATCAATGATAATCTTTCTGCTTGCTGCACCTGTATTCTGGGTTTGGCTTTCTGCAATTACACAGTTGCTTAGCACAGAAAGATCAACTTTGCCATAATAACCTTTGTCTTTTCCTGTCAGATAGTCCTGCTGAACCCCAAATCACATCATTTAGCTGATTTTCCCTGATATCACATGACCTTGGTACCTTCTTGAGTGCTTCCCACTGGCATTGGTGGAAATGTCTGTATTTCAATAGATGGTGGTTGATGTTGTTTGGCACAGGCAGAGTGCCAGGACTGGCTGAGCACAGAGGCCACAGGCAGTCTGTGTGCCTCAGCAGCTCTCTGGCAACACAGCACTTACTGGTAGTGTGCTCTTCCTAGACCCCATTGTGAAAGACCAGGCTCGGATGGGCTCGTCCACCATGGCGGGTGGCAGCACTCCTGTCAGCAGTGCGAGCATGATGTCAGGTCAGTTCTGCCAACTCTCTTGGTGCTTGGGCTGCTGAAGCATTTCCATGTGTGGGTTGGGTGGGAGGACTCAGGAGGGAGAGTTCAGCAGGCAGGGAGGGCGGTGTTGGGTCATCTCCCAGAACTGGGGACAAGGGCAAGAAGAGCTGCAAAGTGGGTGGGAGAGTCTGATAAGTAAGGCCTTGGGCAGCCTGACCTGTTTTTCTGGTTTCATTTTAAGAAGCTCTTTGCAGTTGATTTTCTGGCAGCAGCTTGAAGGACAGTCCACTGGCACAGGCTGCCTAGAGAAGCTGTGGCTGTCAGATCCCTGGAATTGTTTAAGGGCCAGGTTGAACAGGATTTGGGGCAACCTGGTCTAGTGGAAGGTGGCTGGGGGGTTGGAGAAGAGGAGCTTTAGGGTTCCTTCCAATCCAAACCATTCTGTGATCCTGCCACATCTCTGCCCATCAGTGACACTGAGGGGTGTGCAAATCTGTGCCCTTCCCAGAGCTGCAGAGAATAGTGACAGATCTTTTCTCTCTTTAATTATTTTGGCAGCTCTGAAAACATAACTGACCCACAAAGCTCCCACCTGACTTCAGAAGCTGTCCTGGATAGCAGTATGCTGTTTTCACTCTAATTCCTGCTTACCTCTCTCTTCCAGGGATTTCTTCAGTGCCAACACCTTCACCCCTTGGACCTCTAGCAGGCTCCCCCGTCATCTCTGCCACCACCACCCTGGGGATGCCGGTTCCAGCTGCTGCGGGCGCCCAGCAGTAGTGACGGGCTCTGTCTCCTGCTGCCTGAGCTGAGTCAGGTGGGGAAGAGGTTTCCCCCTCCACCTCTCCTCAGGACGCAGCTCGTGCCTGGCAGGGGAAGGGAGGGGATGAACGCTTTGGAGACACCGTGTCTGAACTGTTGCTTGTGGATTTATAGTAGTTCAGTCATTATATACAAAATTATTATAGGCTGATTTTTCTTTTTTTACTTGAACTTTTCGTAACTCAGGGGATTCCCTGAAAATACCTACAAATGGAATACTTCTTGGACAGTTTTTCTTTCCCCCCCCCACCCCTCCCAAAAAAAAAAAAAAAAAAAAAAAACACCAACAAAACAACTCTTCATGTAATAACAAAGATGAATCAACAGCATTTCCAAGCTCTTGCATCCTGCTGGAAATCTCTTCTCTTCATGTTCCCACCATTATTCCTCCACAAGCCTTGGGGGATTGTGCTGTTCTCCAGAGACTACCAAACCAAGTCTTCATGAGGCAGGGGAGGGGATTCTTAAAGTACCACTTACTTGAACCCCAAGTCCTGCATATGTCCCAGCCAGGGTACACTGAGGAGACAATTCCAGTAGGGAGAGGTGGGATAAGCTTAAAAGGAGTAAGTGCAGATAGCGTCCAAACCCCTAATTGGATTGGATAATGTCTCCTTAGGAGTCAACCAGAATGCTAACTCACCCCTTGCATGTAATTTTAGTCTTAAAAATGAAGTTACTGATCCAGTTGGAGTCCTTGGCACCTCCTGAGACAGGTGCTCCTGTAGAGTAAGCCCTGCTCTCATCAGCCCCTTTCTCATGGAGGGTTCTTCCAGCCATTGCTTGGCTTGGATCTCTGGAATTAATTTGTTATTGGGTATATTGTTTTTAAATTGTTTCTATAGGTTTCGAGCTGGTGGCTACTTAAAGCTGGAAAAATCAGACTGCGCCAAGTCCGATCCCACATCTTCACCCACCATCCCCTCCCTCACGTGCCATGTGGTGAGAATACCAGTTACCTCACAGTCTTGTAAATATGCACTGAGAGGAAGGAGCCAGGAGACGTTAACTTAAACTGAAATGGTAGATCAGTAATTGTGGACAAATATTATCATTGACAACTGAAAAGCACCCTTGTTACAGCCCTGCTACCCCTTGCTGTGTATATATACTTTGTCCTTCATATGTGAAAGATCCAGTGTTGGAATTCTTTGGTGTAAATAAACATTTGGTTTTATTTATCGAGGTTAGATTTAAGTTCCCTGTGTAGAGGCCTCCCTGGGGTGGTCATACACTGACACAGGAGTGGTGACAGCCACATGTGCCCTGGGCAGGCCATGTCCCTGTCACACCCATGGGGAGCAGTGCAGAGAAGCCTTACACAGATGTCACAAAGCCAAAGTACCTCCTGGGAGAAGGATCTTTTTCCATAACAAAAAAAACCTCCTCTTCTGTCTCAGCCATGATGGTGGGGAATTGAGATGATGAACCAATTATTAGTTGTTTGCCTGTTGCAACTCACTGGATTTCTGTGACTTGTTTTCAGTCACCTAATGCTAGGCTGGCTCAGCTGGTGTGGCTGCAGGCACAATGGCACCTGTCCCTTTCAGTGACCTGTCATCCCAAAGCCATTGCAGCAGTTGTTCCCGTGGACATTGAGAGATCTTCGCGTTCCTCAGTGGGTGCTGACGCCTTGGCCTGCAGCTCCTGCCTGTCCCAGGCACCCATCCCTCGTCTGTTCTGTGGAGAGGATGGACATGTGCTTCCACATTGCTTAGTTAATTTTAGGATGGGGCATGTGGGCTGGATTAAACTGATTTATGGGACATGGAACACTGCCCCTTTCTGTGAGGATTGCCAGCAGGGAGATGAAGTTTTTTACATACACCAGGATAGCTTTCTCCTCCATGCCTTCATCCAGTGGAAATCCATTGTACTTAATCTTTTATATCCTAAAGTGATGTGAAAGTTGGACTGTGTTGACTGTTACCTCAATGTGCTGTACCGTAAAAGCACCCAGTATGACAAAATACAGCTTGTTTGCACTGGTTCTGAGCTATGCAGGACATTCTACCCAGTTCTTTTGTTATTCCAAGCGAGGGAGGTTTGCATAAGGATAAGAATGGAAGAGGAAGCTGGGAGTGGTGGATGGCCCCAGTGCCTGTCAGCCCCTGCAAGGACCCCTGTGCATGGAAGGAGCTTTGTGGCCTTGACAAGCCCTCACAGCAGTGCCGGGCACTCGCTCTCCCACTGCGCTGTCTGCAAGCACTGACGGGGGCGTTCGGAGGGTTTTCGGGGTTTTTTTGCGTGGTGGCAGCAGCCCCTGCGTGCAGCACCATTGTGGGTGCGCTACCCGCCCCCGGCAGCGCTGGGAATGACCCGTCCGGCGACCATCGGGGAGGGTTCGGGGTTGGTTTTTGTTTTTGAGCAGCCCCTGAGGCGCTCTCGGGCCGGACGCAGCCAGGCCGCGCACCCTCCTTCACGCATGCGCGGCTGCCTCCGCCGGTGCGACCCGCCTAGCGGCGCCGCGCCTGCGCACTGCGGCGCCGTGACGTCCCGCCCGCGCGCCGGCGGGCGGGGGGCGGGGGAGCGGGCGGGGGAGGGACGGGACCGGACGGCGCGGGGAGCGCGGAGCCCCGGCCCGGTCCGGTCCGGTGTCCGGCCCGGAATGCGCCGCAGCGCCCGGGAACATGGGCCGGCAGAGCCCGCCGCGCAACGGCGTCGGCGGCCACGGTACGGGCTGGGCCGGGCCCGGCGGGCGGGGGGCGGTGGTTCCGCTGAGGGGGCGGGGGCTGGAGCGCCCCCTGCGGGCGCGGCGGCGCCCCCTGGCGGCGGGGCGGGGCCGGCGCTGCGCTCGGAGCCGCCCCGCGGGAGCGGCCGGGGGTCCCGGGGGGTCCCAGGGAGCCCGGCACCGAGCGAAGGGCCCGGCCCACCCCGCGGCTGTGCGGCCGCCGCGGGCTCGGGCGGGTAGGAACCAGCCGGGCACGGTTGATGCCCGAGGGCGGTCCCCGGCAGTGTCCGGGGGCTCTGCGGCAGCGCCAGGCTGGCCAGACCTGGCGAGGCCGTGTGTCGGTGCCCGGTGCCTGCAGCGCTGCAGAAACCCCGACGGACTCATGTGGGTTTTAGACCGCCCTCACTTTGCGTTTGTGTCTCTTCTTCCTAGGGTGAACCTGCGAGTTAAGGTCTTGTGGTTACATAAAACATTTTTTGCAATGCACTGGTTTTGGTTATACTCGCAGCTATTGTCCCCTGTGTGTTTGAAAAGTGTAAATATTGCGGTCTTTATTAGTAAGTTTGAGAGGAGGAGCCCGCAAGATGTGCTTCTTCCTTGCCACTACTCCTTAAAGTTCTTTGTGTGTGAACAGTTCTTTCTCCCGTAGGCTTTGTCTCCTCCTTCCCGAGGCATTGGTATGTGACAGCCCAGTGTGTGCGTGTGGCAGGGGATCAGGAACAGCTGGGGGTAGGGAACTGGCTGGGAATAGGGAACCGGCTGAGCAGAGCTGGCTTCTGTTGTGCAAATAACTCTGCTTGCACAAGGGCCCGGAAAGGAAATAAAAGAAACTGTAGTCACTGTGTGAGTGATAGGAGATTTAATGTTACCAGGATCTTGGAATTCGGAGGGAGGTGGAACTCTGTCGTAGGCTGTTACAGCTTGTTTTGATCCAAGAAGTGTTTTTAAAGGGTCTTTGAGAAGGAACAGCATCCACTGCTCGACCTACTTAGCGTCCCTGTGTGTGAACAGCCTGCCGACCTGCCGGCTGCCTTCAGACCTCGCTGAGAGAGAGCTGCACTTCCAGCCAGGAGCTCGCAGGAACAGGGCCGGGGCAGTGGCTGAGGTGCCACGTGGGCAGAGGAACGAGGTCCCCTATCTGCCGGGAGGGCGCGGCCTTGGGAAACAGCTGTTTCTCCCTCGGAGTCCTTTTAATTCCTCCCACCCCAAATCCTATTTGGACACGTCCCTTGTAGAACGAATCCTGTTTGGATCCCAGGAGTTGTTGCATCTATGGGAAAAGCCTTTAGGGAAAGGCAGCATTTGTGGCCTCATCCTGTACTCCAGTCCCACAGCTGCTCAGCAAAGCCTCCTTACTGGGACCTCCTCCAGTGTGGGATATCGAGTGGCTCTCGGCTGCTTCTCTCTTTCCTCACATGAGGCAGCGGTGACAAATTCCACCATGTGGTGTGAAGTAGTGTCCCTTCTCCGCTCCCTGGGAAGCTCTCTGGTGTCCTGTAAGTGTGTCTAACCCGAGCACTCCGTGCTTTGTGTGTTACCCCTTCCCTCCCTGCCCCGAGTTCCTGTGCTCCTCAAAACAGTGGGAATTATTTCCTACTGGCTGAGCTGTGTGTGTACTGATGGCTGGCAGGTATGTGTTTGTTGTAGGACAAGTCAATGTGCTTATGATTCTTTAACTCTGGTATAATTATGTCCTTTCTTGTGTCTGTTGCTGTCAGTGGAAATGCTCAGGCTTCTTCCTAGGACGGCTGCACCTGGGAGTCGGTAGGAATACAGTTTTGGGAACACTTTCCTAACCTTTTTTTGAACACTTTCCTAAGTCCTGGTCTTAGGAAACATGTGGCATCTGAGCTGGCAGCTGCATCAGAGAGCAAAGAGTTTCAGGATGGCTTTGCAGGGCTGTCTTGATCCTGTATGGAGCCGTGAGCCATTGGGAAGGACAGGAGCCAAGGCCTCTGTCTGTGCACTGGTGGTGGCTCCGGTATCAGGAGGAGCAGCATTTGCCCCCCACAGTGGGACTCCCAGGATAGGGAAGTAGTGAGAATGCCCTTTGAGGTCCTCCCAGTGCTGAGCCTGCAGAAATGGGGACACTCAGCTGGAGGGGTCCCCACCAGAGTCATCCCTGTCCTGACAGTGTGGTGACTGTCCTGTGTCATCTCCCTTGGGTGTGTGTGTGACATCACTGTGAGTGGCTATTGCTAGCCCCCACTGTGTGCTGCCACTGCCTGTCAGCTCATGTCTCTGTGACCTTTTGCAGACTTTGATGCTAAGAAAAAAAGAAAAGTGGCAGAGATTTACCAGGCTCTGAACAGCGACCCCATCAACGTGGCAACGCTGAGGCGGATGGCGATCAGCGAGGGTGGGCTGCTCACCGACGAGATCCGGCGCAAAGTGTGGCCAAAGCTGCTCAGTGTTAACACAGATGACCTGCCCCCTCTTCCAGGTATGGAACAGCCTGGGCTCACCTGCTTAGGAGGAACAGCTCAGTGAACTTTGTCCCTAGAGGAGGGACGTGCTTTCTGACTTGTCTTTTCCCTGTGTGTGTTGTATTTCCCACTAAGCTCATGTACAAAGGGGAGTCACTGCAGCACCAATATTGTGTTGTATGTAAACAATACATGACTTCTAAAAACAACATTTGTTGTTTTCTTTAGCGATAGTCATGGAATCAGTTCATTGTGGATGCAGTCAGCGTGGCCCTGAGCATTAGCTGACATATGTAAGTTCACATGCAGCAGAAAGAATCAGACTTGATTTGTTTTGCTCCCATGAAGAGGTGGCTGTTCTGAGCCCCAGTGTGGCCAAAATTCTCCTGATGTGTCTCTCCCAGGCAGCAGTTTGTTGCGTGAAGTACATGTGGTTTTTTGGTCAGAACAGGCACAAGGACAGCAACCTTCCCACATGTTTTTTAAACCTTAGCAATGGAGGAGCTCTAGGTCCTGTAGCTTTAGAGTCACCCAGGACAGATTTTGTTGTTATTCCCGATTCTGTGGTTGTTTGGAAATGTGCATCCCCTCACCTCAGTCCAGAGCCAGGTGGCATTAGGGTGATGTGAGGTGACCAGAGCTGCTGGAAGACAAGGTTTAACTTTACATGATCACATAGAAGGAATTTGCTGGCCCACTGAACTTTTCTATTTTAACTGTCTTAGCTAACCCTGGGTGAGATTTTCCTCTGAATTGTTTCTATTTTATAAATAATTCGTTATGGTCTCCACAGCACTCCTCCAGTGCTGCTGCTGAGTACACGTTGAATTGACAGAAAAACAGTGGAGCAGAGATGTTTCTAGGAGTACTGGGAGTGCTGCTGTCAGTTTAAGCATTTTAACATGTGTTGTCTAAAGAAATAATTGTCTCATTTGCTATTAGTGTCAGACTGTGTGGCAGTGAAAGTGCAGGGACAGGACCGAGGTGTGAAATGAAAAAAGGGATATACAGTGGAGTAGGGGGTGTGTGCAATTTTATGTCCACATTGAGCAGGGATTTTCCCAGCTCCCTCACCTCACTCTTTTCCCAGTACTATTGCAGTGCTTCATGTTAATCCTGTTCCTCTTTTCCTCAGCAAGGAAGGAGCTGCGAGAGGACAATAAGGATTACCAGCAGGTGTTACTGGATGTGCGGCGATCCCTGCGCCGCTTCCCGCCAGGTGAGGGGGGTTCTGCTCTTCCCTCTCTGCCATGGGGCTCTCCTGGCTCACACCTCCCTGGGACACTGCAGAATGTGACACTCCATTATTACTCCAAGGGCCTGACTTCTAGAAAACGTTTTCCATGTGAGCTCCCAGCAGCTGCTTCTTGCAGTGAAGCCCTTCTACAGCCATCAGTTTCCTTCAGCTGTCTCTGCAGAGATGGTTTTTGATGTGGCTTTTCCAACGTTCCACTTCCCCTGCCCCACTGTGCCCCTCTGCCAGGAGGCTGCTATTGGCAGACAGTTGCAGCAGAGAGAGGATGGATCCTGCATGGATCTTGTGCACCATGACCTGTTGAGATTAGGACAGATGGAAAGCTTGAGAAACATGCCATTTGCTTCGGTTTATTTTAGTCCATGGTCTTGCTCAGGGACAGGGAAGGCGGGTTTGGCTGTGCTTAGAACAACCTCTGGTATAAAACAGTCTCAAAATCAGGTTCTTGCACCAAACTTAACTTAGAAGCAAAATGATTTTGCAGTTGTTTAGTTCTGATGGGAGGCTGGTGCCTTGTGTTATTTATAAAATGCTAAATCCAGCAGCTCTCTGTGCAGAGCAGTCGTTATTTCTGGCCAGAATCTGCCTCCCCCTTCTGCCACTTTTATTTTGTATAAACACTTGATTCACTCTGATTCTTGCAGGCATGGATGCTGCGTGCAGGCCTGATTCCTGGAGGCTCTGCTCCTACGGATTTTTTTGCCCTTGAATGGCAGCCTCCTGCCTATTTTTAGCCACATTAGTGAAGCAGAGGAAAAGGAGAACTTTGTCATTGCAGGATCTCTGCTGGGACTCTCTGCTTGGCCTTTGGGTGTTTTATCTGTTGACAAGGGCTGCCAGAAACCGGCTGCAGCTGTGCAAGGCAGGAACAATGTTTTCCCTGTGACATCCTGTCCCTAAACACGTGCTGTTTGCAGGGGACTGATAGAAAGTTGTGCTGGTGGAAGCCTTGCAGTCTGATGCAGTTGGCATAGTTTCTGTGAAAATGGGCCCTGTTGACTTTTTTTCTAGAACTCCTGGGAAATTAAAAATTACTAAAACATCCTCATCTGTGCTGGATGTGTAGAACAATTCTCTGTTCACAGCAGCACTGTGCAAACATCTGTAAACCCTGCTCCTGTCCTCCACAGTGGCTTCCTTGCAGATAAGGGTTCTGCAGATCTAAAGAGTAAACCTCTGAGCAACTGGCCAGATTCCCCTGGTCCTGCAGAGTTTTGGGAGACAGCATTAGGGCTTTGGATAGTTTTTTTCTGCCAGTTTTACCACCCTCCCCTTATGCAGCACATCCCTTGGGATCAGGCAGGTTAGTAAATGCACAGGTGCTCTCCTTGCACACCACAGCAGGCACTGGTAGGTGACCCAGCTGTGCCACCTTTGCTGTTCCTCCCACAGGGATGCCAGATGACCAGAGGGAAGGATTGCAGGAGGAGCTCATCGATATCATCCTCCACGTCCTCCAGCGCAACCCCCAGCTGCATTACTACCAGGGATACCATGACATCGTGGTCACCTTCCTCCTGGTGGTGGGGGACAGGCTGGCCACTGCACTGGTGGAGAAGCTCTCAACGCATCATCTCAGGTACTCAGTGGGAGGAGAGGAGCCAACTGCGTGTCCTCGGGCTGTGGGGACACCTGTGCAGGTAGAGCTGGCCTGGAAGGGGAGCTGGGAAGGCAGAGCCTTGGGTTAAAGCAGCTGCCTGTCATGCCTGTACCCAGAGGGTGATTGAGAGCAGCCTGACCTCACAACAGCACGTGGCTTTGCAGAGAGCTGTGCCCTGGGGAAGAGATAATTGAAGGCTGTCAGTTAATTTGTAGTATCTCTTGGAGTTGGAAAAGCCAACACACATGCATTATCCGTGGTTGTGTGGCTGTCAGGGCCTCTCCAGTCCTGTGGGCTGGCTCAGCTCCTGCCTCCCATTTGTCCTTGCATAGCCCTGGGCAGCATGGTCTGTACTACCAGTGTCCTGTACCCTACACGAAGAGTCTTTCTTGTTTGTGCACTGAAATAAAAGCAGGCTTCCAGCTGGAGAGTGTGGTTTGGAGGGATTATCTCTCCTCTCCCAGGCAGGAGTCAGATTTTGGGTGCTGGAAAGGCTTTACAGTTCTTGTGTGCACTGCTGCAAAATAAGAAGTGTCAGCTGACAGCAGCGTGATGGTCTGGGCCTGGGTTCTGTGTGCAGGTCAGCCCTGCGTGCCCCAGACAAGCTGGAAGGAGGCTGCTCCAAAGGGACAGAATTCCTTGGGGCTGGGGGCCACCTGCCAGCAAGGCTGTTTATTGTATGTACTTCACCTTCTGCTGCCTCCCTAGAGGGAGAGCTTGCTAACATTGTTGCTTGACAAAGCTTCTTTTAAATCTTTCCTCAGGGATTTTATGGACTCAACAATGGATAATACCAAGCACATTTTAAATTACCTGATGCCCATCATAGACCAGGTGAACCCTGAGGTGCATGACTTCATGCAGAGGTATGCAAATGTTCCCTTAGAGCCTCCTGGCTCTCCTGGTTACTGTTCACAGGGCCATTTTCACCCACACATCCCCAGCACCACAGTGGCTTCCTCAGGGAGTCAACAGCTGATGGTGGCACCCAGAGGCATGTGGCACTCGTTTCTGAGCAGGCTCAAACCTATGATGCCTGTCTGGAGGGGTTTTACATGGTGCCATCTTCGGCCCATTTGTCTGCAGTCTGTGTTGGTGGGGCTGGGGATTTGGGGACAGTGTTGTACAAATGCTACAGCTGCTTCATGTGACCACTTGTGTGGCTGGTGGGACCTTGCTGTAGTTTGTTGTTAGTTCTGGGGATAATTCCCAGGTTTTGCATTAGGGACACACAGGTGTGTCTGGGCAGATCAAATCAGAAGCAGGAAGGTGAATGGGAAGAGTCAGTTCAGAGCCCTTTTTTTGGGCAGGTGTGTGGTTTTTTTCACAGCCAGAATGTCTTTGGATACCAACCCTGATTGCAAACTCCCAGAATTAGTAAGCCCTCAGAGTAGGAAGGAACCCAAACATCAGTCTGTGCTGCAGGACTTCAGTTGCCCTCAGGCCAGCAAGCCAGACAGTGCCATGGTACATGACACATTCAGGGTCTCCTGAAAGCAGCGTTTGGCCTCTGCTATGGCCCCCACTGGATGTGACACAAGTAGTGGCAGCACTTTGCAGCAGGGGCTGGCACAGGGGATAAACAATTTTTTCTGTCAGAGGTGCAGTTCCTGCTCTGGGCGGGTTCAGTACTCCTCTGACTGCCAGCTCTATTTCCCCAGGCATGGCTGTGCAGCACAGGGCTGGCTTGGGAGCATTTCATCCCTGTTTCCAGGCTGACCTCATGCTCTTTCTCTGTGTAGTGCGGAGGTGGGAACCATCTTTGCTCTCAGCTGGCTGATCACCTGGTTTGGCCACGTTTTGTCTGACTTCAGGCACGTTGTGCGATTATATGACTTCTTCCTGGCTTGCCACCCACTGATGCCCATTTATTTTGCAGCTGTGGTAGGTATTGATGGAATGGTCAGGGATTAAATGAGCTGTTCTGAGGTGGTAGGAGTTTGGGGCTGCAGAGGGAGGCTGGCAAACCCAGTGCTGGTGCTGTCCCCAGCTGTACCTTACTCTGCACATGCAGTCACTGATGTCCTTGGTGATGGTGAAGGGCAGGTGGGATCCAGGGGAAATCAGGGCAGCCTGAGGGTGTCCAAATGTGCAGGCTTTACCAGTTCAGTGCTGTGGAGGCAGCAGGACACAGTGTTTTTGTTTCCTCTCATGCCTCCATCCTGCCCATCCTCATAGCAGAGGGCAAGTCATGAAGTCAAACTCTGCTGAGGTTCTGCCCCAATCTCCAACCTGCCAATAGCAGGCTCTGCTCAGCAGACAGACCTTACTGCCCTGAAAGAGGCTTCCCATGGCCTCAGAGTCTTAGAAGGGGTTTGGCATTTCTCTTCCCTGCAGTGTGTCCTCTTGAAGAAGGTCTTTCAGCTGGAAGTAAAGTGGTTTTTTCTTCTGGCTCTGAAACAAGTGCCAGCATCTGCCAAGGAGTTGTCCCCACTTCCTTGTCTGTCCTCCTCTCACTCCTCTGCAGATCGTGCTGCACCGGGAGCAGGAAGTTCTGGACTGTGAGTGTGACATGGCCTCTGTCCACCACCTCCTGTCCCAGATCCCACAGGACCTTCCTTATGAGTCTCTGATCAGCAAAGCCGGGGACCTTTTTGTCCAGTTCCCACCATCTGAACTCGCCAAGGAGGCAGCTCAGGCAGCTCAGGCGGAACGGTGAGTGCTGGGCAGCCCATGTGCTCCCTACAGCCCCTTGCCAGGTCTTGCCTCCCTGTGGAGATCTTCCTGACCGGAGGCTGGTCCCAGGGGTGAGCCAAGGACACTCCTTGACCTGTTCCTTCTCTTGCAGAACTGCGGCTTCCACTTTTAAGGACTTTGAGTTGGCGTCAGTGCAGCAGAGACCAGACACTGTGTTGAGGCAGCGCTTCAGAGAGCGGCTCCGAGGGGAGGAGCGGCTCCGAGGGGAGGAGAGGACAAAATCCATCTTGACAAAGCCCCGGACCAACCGCTTTGTCAAGCTGGCAGTGATGGGGCTGACGGTGGCACTGGGAGCAGCTGCCCTGGCTATGGTGAAGAGTGCACTGGAGTGGGCACCCAAGTTCCAGCTGCAGATTTTCCCCTGAAGCCGGAGGAAGGGCCTTTGCTGTCACTGCATCCATCCCCAGCAGGAAGGGCTGATGTGTGATGAAGGACGTGTTCAGAAACGACCTGTCTGAAGATTATTTTTTTTTCTTACTGCATCCAGTAACGCTTTTGGCCTTTGTGACAGAGGCTGAGGGAACCAGCCCAGCAGGACAGTTCCCCACACCATGCTCACCTTGTTCCCTTCTCCCTGTGCAAGGGTGAGCAGACAGGCACTCCTGCTGTCTCCTGAGGAACCAGAGGTATGGACAAATTTGGCTGTTCAGGCTGTGCTCAGGTGACTGTACAGAGGGAGAGCTGTGTGTGGGCTGTGCCCAAATGATCCCATGTTCTCCACTGGGGAAAACTAGTGGAAGTGGGAGCAGATCTTTGCCTGGAGGAGTGTCCAACAGGGTTTGTTCTGGGTGCTTGTGTGTGTAAGGGTGGAGGGCATCACACTCATGAGGAACAGGGCAGCCCTTTGGCTCTTCATTGCTCCAGTGTGCCCCACAATCTGCCTTCAGCTTTGCCGGTGCTCCAGTTCTTCCCTGTCCTCTGGGCACCCTCTGAGCAGAGCCAAACCTTTCCCACACACTGGCCAGCACAATGCTCTCAGCTTCTCTTCAGTGTGTAACACTCCCTGGCTCTTTTTGTTTCCACATCTTTGCTGCCTGATCTGTTTGTAGGGGCCAGGGCCATTAACATGCCCACTTGGAGAAAGGCTTTCTTCACCTTGTGAAACACTTTACACAGGACAGAAGTTGTTGCACTAGGAAGTGTGACAAAAACCTCCCCCACAAGCTGATCAGGCTCCAGCATCACTTCTGGAAATAACACTAAGCGTTTCCCAGAAAGGCCACCCTGACCCCTGCATATCTCCCATCTCCCCACCAGTTCCATTGGCAGTCCCAGCGCTCCCTGCCCTCCAAGCTAAGCAGCAAATCCTTCTAGACAGCTCAGTGTCCCACTGAGACAGAGCCAATAGACACTCTATGCCTCTACCTCTCCCCCAAGCTGCTAAATCTCCCTCAAGTGTCCTTACCTGTCCCTCACGGCTCCCTCCCGCTGCCCCATCATTGCTCTGTTGTGCCCAAAGCCATCTGTGCCATGCCCAGGGGCTGCACACCTGAAAATGAGGTTTTGGTTGAAGGGATTTTGGGATAAAGAAGAAACTCATGCCCTGCAAAGCTCAGCACCCCCCACTCCCACCCATCTTGGTCCATGACCGCCCTGGGTGTGTTCTGGTTTGCCCCACGGGCCCTTGCTCATGGAAGGGATGTGCCTTTCTGGCCAGAGGGCAGGTGGGCAGTTTTCATTCCTGGCTTGTGTTCCCATGAAGCTCTGAGCAGGAGTTCCCTTTGCCTCTGCAGGTAAAAGGTGGAGTGACTGAAACTGCCCTTGTCCAGGCAGGCAGCAAGACCTGTTCCCTCCTCTCCTCAATGGTGCCAGTGGCCTTGGAGAGACCTGGGGCTGCTCAGGGGCTCCTCCCAGTGTGGCTGAAGGCAGAGCCCATTCCTGGCCCCTTGGCACCCCCAGAGCAGCAGAACAGGACTGGGGGCTGGGTCACTTAGCACTTTAGAAACCATTGGTGCAGGAGAGTGTGGTGACCTGGGAATGCTGCTGGAGGGCCCAGGACTGCTCTGTACACCTTGCTGAAGGAGAGGATGGCTGGAGCCCCCAGGAGGAGCCCCTGCAGCCCCTCCATTCCCTGGCCATGATGCACTTTAGTTCTTGTGTTGTCCCCAGTGGGGGGAGAAGGGCCTGGGAGGAGACCAGGGTGCTTCAGTTGCTCTGTACAAAGACTTATACATCCCCTGTAAATGCAGATTTCTACAAGCCCTAAAACTGTAAAATAAACAGTTACTAAACACACTTCCTGCCCTCCACAGACCAGGGCTGCCAGATCTGCTCTTGTGGCACCCTGGGGCCCAGAACTGGCACCTTCCCTGCGGTGGCCAGGCCAGCTCAGTGTGGCCTCACACCCAGCAGCCCCGTGGGAAGAGGAGCAGGAGCAGAGCCAAAGGGTGTGTGCGTGCCCCGGTCACTGTTCTCCATCCATCTGCCTCCCTCTGGGCCAGTGCCAGGCCTCGTGTGTGCTGCTGGCTCTCCAGGGTGTCCCCCCCATCAGCAGCGTGGGGCTGGAAATAGCCTGACCTGCCAGGCTGCCCTGTACCCCAGGCTGGGTGCCCGGCTGCAGGAGGAGATCCTGGGCACGGTGCCCACCTCCCAGGGCACGCTCCACTGAGCTGGGGTGATGCAGCCACCTTGGCCAGGCTGGAAGTGGTTTTGTCTGGATGGCTCAAGGCTGGCAGCCCTGCTGGCTGATTTTAATTGCCTGTGGCCTCTCCAGGAGCCATTTTCTCAACAGTGCTTGAATCCCTTTGGGAGGAACACCCTTTGGAAGAGTGGTGGCAGGAGGTATGTGGCACCTTTGGGGTAGCCAAGAGGCCTCTGTCTCATGTGTCTCAGAACCAGGCCAGTGGCAATGTGTGCGTGTGCCTGTGTGGGCCATGCTGGACACTAGACAAGAGCCCCACGTGGCCCTGACCTTACCAGAGTGATGGGGGCAGTGGTGATGGCCAGTGAGCTCTGACTTTGGTTGCCCCATGGTCCTCCCTGCTCCCAGCAGTGCCCCTGTGCAGAGAGGAATCCATTGCCGGGGGCTGCAGTGACACCACACTGGAACGTTGCTGCCCCCGTGGTACCGCCCAGCCCCGGGCGGTGCTGGGGGCAGCCTGCAGACTTGGGGGGCCACCGTGGCCACCGTGGCCACCATGGGCAACCCCTGCACTTCTCCCTCCCTCGGGGACAGCCCGGTTCCCAGCAGCGCCAGGGCAGCAGGAGGGGCCGGCAGTACCCGAGGATGCTCTGGGCTCCTCTTGTTGCCGTGGCAACAGCTGCGGTGAGACTGGGGGTGGGGGTCTGCGTGTGATGCAAGTGGTGCGTGACCCCGTGGCCCCCCCTGTGGGTCTGGATTAGCACCCCCGGTTCCCTCCCTCTCCAGTTCCCTCTCCCCGATTACCCTCGGTCCCCTCCCCCGGCTGAACGGAGTCGGGGGCGGCGCCGGGATTGCCCACACACACACTCGGGTGGGGCGAGGGGCTGCATGTGCACAGCACATACGTGCACATGCTCACACTGCTCCCAGGGACGCCCAGCCCACACTGACGGATGAGGGTGAACCTCCCCGCGGCAGGAGAGCCCCTAGGAACCGGGGCTCAGGGTGTGAACTGATATGCCTTGGAGCTGGATGCTGGCCATTGGGAATCCCACATCTCCCTGGAGACCTCACATAGCCCAAATTCCCCTGGGAGGAGTGAGGCAGCACAGAAGGAGCCAGAGCCTTGGAGAGCAGACCAACACACTTTATTCCATAATCACAACAGTCAGGATCATTGTTAGCCGAGGTTCTGCAGAGCAGGGGCCAGCCATGTCACACCCCCAAGACGGACCCAGATGGGGTCGTCACTGCCCCTCGGCTAAAATCCTGTTTCTCCAAGATAACAGACACAGGGACCCTTCACTAACACAACACTACAAAGGTGACCCCGAGCGCTGGCGCCCGTCCGCAGGCTGCGCCGGGGCCCCGCCAGCTCCGGGTACCCCCGGCCCACTCGGCCGCCGCCAGGGCAGCTGCTTCCTGAGAGAGGTTTGGTTTATTTTTATTATTTATTATTACTATTATTACTATTATTATTATTATTATTATTATTCGCTTTGTCTGGAGTGATGACGGGATGTCGCACGCGCACGCACACACGCTCGCACACGCACGCCAGCCAGCACCGGGCAGCGGGGGCGCAGCGGGAGGGGCCGCACGCTGGGGGGGGTCTCTAAGCACTACAACCACACGGCACAGAAAATCCACCACTGTCCACGACGGTTCTCCCTGACAAATACACCCGGCGAGACTCGAGGAGGGGGACAGGGGTGAGGACGGGGACAAAGCGGATGATGTTGTGCTTGCGGCCAGGGCAGGAGACCCCGGCACTGGCTCCGGTTCTGGCAGTGACCCAGAACCTGCTCCTGAGGAAATATTTCGCCTGACAGTCTGTGGAGGGATCACCCTGGCTCGAGGGTGATGCACAGCACGTAGGGGACCACTGGGACCCGTGTCCCCCCTAGGAACGGAAGCTGAGCCCTGAGCTGCAGGGTCAGCAAAGCACACGTGTGATGCGAGACCCTCAGTGTGGGCCTCAGGCCTTGCTGGTACCTGGGGGCTTTGGCTTCCCCATGGACAGGGATGGAGGGGAGGTGACTGTCAGCCTCAGCGCCCTCCCTGAGAAGCCCTGGCCACAGCACGGGGTGGCTGTGCACCCCAAGAAGGCACCGAGGTGCTGGGTGAGATCCGTGCGTGTTAGAGAGCTCTGGGGCCGCCGGACCCCACGGGAACCCCAAACCCGGCTCACACATGGGAGGCGGCTTCAGATGCTCCTGGAGCGGGGCTGCCCAGGGGGTGGGAAGGCAAAATCCCCCCGAGGTGGCGGTGAGGCGGGAGCAGGCTGCCAGAATCACGGCTGTCCCGGCGCTTATTTGGCTTTTCCACCTTTGGGGGCGGGACTGGATCCGGTGGGGGACGGCCGGGGAGGGAGGGGACGCAGAGAAGAGGACGCGCTCTATCCAGGGAACACGTGTCTGATGCGTGATGCCCGCCTGGCTCCGCAGGCTGGCACCCGCACGGGGGTACCGAAACACCGTGGCTAATGCCAACATACACGCACAGCTACCGCTACACACCGACACATCTACACTGCTGATGGTTGACCATCGCGGGGGGCCTCGAGGGGTCCCCAGGGTCTGGGCTGGGGGACATCAAGCATCCCTGCAAAGGGCCCAGGGACACACCTCTCCCTGCGCTGCAGTGCCCATCCCCACGGCTGAGCCAGGGCCACCAGCAGCTCCAGCAGCAGGGCCAGGCACCTACTCCGAGGCACCCTCAGGGGATGCCAGCACATGGGAGGGAGGGATGTCCTTCCCCTGGTCACGGCTCAGTCCAGCCTGACAGCAAGGGGCAGGCACGGGGTAGCCTGTGACTAGGGGAAACCGGCAGCCCCAAAACAGGGAGGCAGAGCCCCAAGCAGCGGGTGCTCTGCTGCTGCCAGCACCCCACTGGCAGGGAAGGATCCGAGGGGCCCCCACAAATCCAGAGTCCCTGGGGAATCGAGGTCGTGGGGGACTGCAGGGGCTGCTTCAAGCAGCGGTTGCTGCCGAGCCCAACCCATGACCACGTCCCCAGGGATGTGTGGGGTCCCCACCCAGCACAGCTGTACCAGAGCGCAGCGCGCAGCCCCTGCCCCCCCAAGCACAGCCTGCGGCAGCTGCCGAGCCAGCACTGCAGCCACGTGCTCCCGGCAGTGGGAGGAGGCGGCTGTCGCAGGAAGGAGCCATTAGGAAAAGCAAGGAAAATCCCAGCTGGAGGAGCCGCTGCAGCAGCATCTTCCCTGCCAGCATCTCCCTGCTCTTGGCGTGGCCGGCAGCGGAGCCGAGCGGGGTGCTGTGTGGAGGAGCCCTGTGGCAGAGCATCACCCACACCCCACACACCCACCAGCACTGGCTGCAGCTGCCCTTGGACCAGTTTGGGTGGTTGCTTAAGGCAGATTTCCCACAGCTGCCCTTCGCTGCCACCCTGCCCCTCCATGCTGCTCCCTGCCATCCCGGCAGCACCAGGTGCCACGGCTGGGCACAGGGACACCCGTCTGGGCACAATGACACCCGGCTCTGCCGGCCAAGGTCAGCCAGCCCACAGCAGGTCCTGCACGGGCACAGGCTCCAAGGTTAAAATGAGGGCTGGCTGCTTAGTGAAGGGCTGGTCCCCATACAGTTTTGGGGTGACTCCGGACAGGGGCTCCCTCGGTGGCACAGCTTTCCCTGCACAACTGCCTGGCGAGAGAAACAACACAGCCTCCCGCGCCCACGTGCTCGTCACGTGTGTGCAACTTCACTCTTCCCAAAGCGAGTGGCGGGGAGCACACGCCACAGGGAAGGAGTCGCTGCTGTAGGACATTGAACCCCCAAACCAGGGACCCCTCACAAAACAGGGAGTTGGGAAGGGACAGTTTGGCATGGCTCGGCATCCCTCCCCAAGGGTTGCAAAGAGGAAGAGGAGAAAATTGAAGCCATGCGTTCAATGCAGTCAAAAACCAAACGGAATCAGCCATTCTCCGAGGGATGGGGAAGGTGGGGCGGGCACCCAGAGCTGGGGTGGCGTGGATGCTCCTGCTTCCTGGAGAGCGGGAGGGCACACGGTGCTGGCACAGATGGGAGCGGCCGGGAGCAGCCATGGCTGTCAGCGCCGGGGCCGTGGGGGAAAGCGGCCGGGTGTGACAATGAAAACCCGATGAGATGCATTTCACGGGCAAGTAACCGCAGCGGGCGGCCATGCGTCCTGCGGGCACAAGGCGAGAGCCGGACAGACAGACGGATGGAGAATGGGTGTGTGCCAGGGGGTGGGGGGAGCAGGGGCTCTGCCTTCCAGCAGCTTCAAGGCAAAATACCTGATTCCTGCATGTAAACAGCTGGTTTCGGTTTGTTTGTTTTTTTTCCTGGGTTGTTTTTTGATATGACCTGATTGTGGGTGAAAATAAAAATGAGTGTTACCTGCAGAGCGTGGGACTCAGTAGGTAAAAACCAAGTCTGAGATGCTGGACATGAGCCAGTCCCCTGCTATCATCTCCGTCACCTCGGGCGTGCAATAGTCCGGGAACTCGAAGTGCGAGGAGCCTCCCCGCGAGTAGAGGTCGTGGTCCTTGTCGAAGACGGACCAGTCCAGGGCACCACAGGTGGCACTGGCAGGCGCCCGCCCGGGCATGATCCCCAGCAGCTCCTCCTCCAGCTCCTCGTCAGAGGAGCTGAAGGAAGAGGGAGGGGACCCAGCCGACATGGGAGAGGGGGACCCGCTCTCTGGGGATCTCCCTGGCTCCGGGCAGGGTGTGGTAGGGCTCAGGGGTGCAGGGGGCTCCTGGGGGCTCTGCTCCCCGTCGGGTGCCGAGTGCCAGGCAGCCGTGCTAGGCACCACAGGGCTGTCCTCAGCGAGCACCTCTGGTGCGGGCTCCTGCGGGGTGTCGGGGCCGGCGGGCAGCTTGGCGGGCTGCCTGCGGCTGGCAGAGACACGGCCCAACACCGAGGGCTTGATCTTCACTGGGAGCCGCGGGCGGGCTGCTCCGGTGCCCACCTTGCCCTTTTTCCGAGGCCGGTACTTGTAGTCGGGGTAGTCAGCCATGTGCTTGAGGCGCAGGCGCTCGGCCTCCCTGACAAAGGGGATCTTCTCGGAGTCGTGGAGGAGCTGCCAGCGCCGGCCCAGGCGCTTGGAGATCTCGGCGTTGTGCATGTCGGGCCACTGGTCCATGATCTTGCGGCGCTCGTGCTGGGACCACACCATGAAGGCGTTCATGGGCCGCTTGATGTGCCCGCTCGGCGTCTTGCACCAGGCGGGCTCGGTGTCACGGGCGGGCAGCGGGGCGCACGGCTCCCGCCGAGCCTCCGCGCCCCGGCCCCGCGGGCCGCGCTGCACCATCCCGGAGCCGGGTATCCCGCCGCCGCCTCCGCCTCTTCCTCCTCCCCTCCCGCCGTCGCCTCCCTGCCCGCCGCCGCCTCCCCGCCCGCCGCTACGCGCCGCGCCGCGCCGCCCCCATTGTGCGGAGCGGGCGGCGGCGGGGCGGGGCGCAGGCGGCCGCGACGGGGCCCGGGGGCGCACGGCGGGGCCGGCTCCGCCGGGGCGGCGGCCGCGGAGATGCTCCGGAAGGGCCCCGGGATGGCCCGGTGGTCTCCGGCTCGGAGATGCTCTGCAGCGGTTCTGTCCCGGAATGTTCTGCACCGGTCCGAGGATGCTCCGGAATGCTCTGTAGCACCTCGAGGATGCTCGGTACCGGTCTGAGGATGCTCTGTAGCACCTCGAGGATGCTCGGTACCGGTCTGAGGGTGCTCCGGGATGCTCTGTACCGTCTCGGGGATGCTCCACACCAACCCGGGGATGTTCGGCGCCGGTTCGAGGATGTTCCGGGATGCTCTGTAGCGGCTCGGGGATGCTGCACGCCGTGAGGGCTCCGCCCCGGGGCTGCTCCTCTCCCCGCCGCCCCGGTGATGCCACCCGGTTAAGTCGGCAGATGCTTCGGTCGGGAATGGTGTAGGGTGGTTGCGGCGGGTCCAGGTGCGGGTCGGGGGTGTGCGGGGGCGGTGCGGGCAGCCCGGGAGCCGCACGCCCCCCGGTGCCGCTCTTATAGACACGGCCGCCCCGCCCCCGCCGCCCCCGGTAAACACCGCCGCGCCGGGTCTGTCAATGGAGGGCCCCGCCCCCCGCCGCCCATTGGCTGCAGGACGGGGGGGCAGATCCCGCTCAGCCAATGGGCGCCCGCGGAGAGGGGTTGCTGGAGAGAATGGCAGGGCGGCACGCCCCGGTACCCCCGGTACCGCCCGGCTACCCGGCACGCCCCGGTACCCCGGTACTCCCCGGTACCCCCCCGCTAGACACGGCACTCCCCGCTACCCCCTGGTAACCGGGCACACCGATCCCCGATACTGCCCCCACAGCAACCCGGCAGCCCCCAGTACCCCGACCCGAGCAGCACAGAACCCACGGTGACACCCGGTACCTTCAGACAAGCATCCCGGTAGCCGGTACCTCTCTGTACTCCGGCTCCTGGCAGTAACCCGCTTCTCCCCCGGTTTAGGCACCCCGATGTCCCCGGTGACCCTGACATCCACACCCTCGGGAGCACCCACACCCCTCGCGGTTCGCCGGGAGCCTGTGCATGGGTGTGACCGGCCGGAACACCGAGTATCACCCCGGAATGCTGCGCTTGAACCCTGCCCTGCTGCCCCACCGGGCTCCCGGGACACCCACTGCTCCCGGTCATCCGGGCAGAGCCCCGGCCCGGAACAGTCCCCGGGCCGCTCACTAGGGCTGGCACCGCTCGGTGCCACGCGTTGTGGCAACACCGACGCCTTCGTGAACACGTCCCCGCCACCCCTTCCAGCGGTGCCTCCCCGTGGGTCGGCCCCCGGCCGGGACGGGAGCGCCGGGCGGGGAACGCGCAGCCCACGAGGCGGACACGCGGCTCCCCGGTGCCGCGGGTGGGGCCACGCCCCTCCCGGTCAGGCCCCGCCCCCTCCGCTGGGCGGCACCAATGGGGCAGCGGCGGCGGCGCTGTTGCCCCGGAGACCGCGGGCTGCCCGCCGGGGGCCGCGCCCATTGGCTGTCGCTGCCGCGCGCGGGCCCGCCGGGGGCCGCGCCCATTGGCTGCGCCGCCGCCGCCAGTTGCTGTGGTGACAGGGGACGGCGCGGGGCCGCGCCCGACCCGCCCGAGCACCGCCGCTCACCGGGCACCGCGGCTCACCGGGCACCGCGAGCTGTCCCCGTCCTGCACTCTGAGCGGGAACTGTGGCCTGTCCCGACCCTGCCGGCTGCCCCGACATTGAAGCCAGCCGGGACACCGGGGCCTGCGCTCCTGCCGGCCCGGCCCGCAGCCCCGGGCGCTGCCCACGCCGTCCCGGAGCCGCGCTGCGCGGGGAACACCGCACAGTTCTCCACCGCGGCTTTGCCTGCGGGCGGCGCTTCCCCGAGCCGTTCCCGCCCGGTATAGCCGGAGGTCATGCCCGGCACGGGTCATCCGCATGGCCCTGGCTCGGAGCACCTGCTCGGCCGCTCCCACACACCTCCGGTGTTCGCTGCTACTGCGCCGGCAGGACCGGCTGGGTGCGCATTAACGCGGAACGCCCGTGCCGTCGAGCAGCTCTGCGGGGTCGGAGGCGGCTGCCCATCCCCGTTGGTCCCGTACACCGGGCCCGCCTCTACCCGGGCTCCCCGCGACAGCCGTTCCTCTGCTCCCTCCCGGTCCCGGCCTCCCCTCAAGCAGCTCGGGGCCAGTCCCGCCGGGCTGCTCGGGCTGTCACAGCCGCCTCCATCCCGGACACACAGACCCCGCCCGGTGGATCCCGTCCCGGTGATCCTGTCCCGGTGCGGTGCTGGGGCGGAGCCGGCAGGGGGCGTCCCTTCCGCCCGTTCCCGGGAGCCCGGGCCCCGCCCGGCCCCGAGCCCGGCCGCTGTCGCCGCGGGGACCGGCTCGGATCACGGGATCACGGAGACACGGGGCATCCCCAGGGGACTCAGCGAAGAGGGGTTCCCGGAGAGCGATGGGGCCCGGGCGTCCCCGGAGGGCAGAGGGTGGTGAGGATCAGTGGGATGTAGGGGTGTCCCGGGAGGCACAGAAGCTGCCAAATGGACAAAAGAGCGAGCCGGGAGGGGTTTCCATAGACCAGCAGCGGTATCACCCCTGCCACAGCCGACTAAATTCATTCCTCCATACTGCCCCTGGCTCCAGCTGGCTGCTGGAACACCACTGTGCTTCGCAGAGCCACTCCTGTGTGGAATGGCACCAGGCACGGTGACAGATTCCTCCGTGCTGCCAGTGCAAGCAGCAGCGCCTGAGGGTAAGGTCAGGGTTGGTGCAAGGGGACATTTCCCAGCTCTGAGGAATCAGCAGTGATTGCATTTCTCCCTGTGCAGAGGATGAAGGCAGTGGTGCAGACCTGCTGTCAGAACCGGCTGGACACAGAGAGGGCAGAACTCCAGGAAATAGAAAAAGCAATGGAAAATAATCTGGGAAGCTAGCTGCACACATCACTGTGAAATGAGTCTATACAGTCATGTTACCTTTGCTTTCCATCCTCGGCTAAAGACACTGTGTTGATCTTATAAATGTCAAACAATTCCATTTCTGAGAATGAATCCCATTTGCTCTGTGGGGATGATCTTCCCACCAGCCTGCCAGGAGGGAGAGAGCCCTGTGACACACGGCAACCTTTGCTCAGGGGGGGTCTGCTCACAGCATCATTCCTTGCTGGTGTACCCCAACCCCTGCCCCCGGGTGCACACAGGGCTTATTTTTCATGAAAATCTCGCCCTGTTGGGCAGACACTCACCCCGCAGTGTAGCAGTGGTGTGGGTGTCAAGGGGGACTGCATCTCCTGCACCAGGATCTGGGTTTTAGCTGCAAGACAGGTATGGCTGTAGCTATGGAGGCACAAGCTGAAGGAGGAGAAAAGCCTGGAACATGTCAGGAGGGAGGAGGCGAGTGGCTGTGTGATAGATTAGTGGAATTTCATTTTTTTTTCTGTTTTAAAAAAAATGATAAAAAAGGGGAATTAATTAGCCTCAGCAGCTGGTGGGACTGGGGTTACTGAGGGTGGATGGGAGAAGAGTTAAAAATAGCAGGAAGGGCAAGTGGAAAGTTTCTGTAACATCACAAGTCAGGCATTTGGTGCTTACCCGCCCTGACAGGCGGGAGCCTGTGCCAGAGCCCTCTCCACCATCCTCAGCCCTTTCCCACTGACCTCCCGGCAACTTTTCACACGACATCACCAGCCCTTCGTTTTGCTAATTAACCCTTTGCTTCCGGACACTGGACTTGCGTCTTGAAAGAGCAAATTCAGCCACGAGTTGCTCATCCTGGGAATGTGAGGGTGCAGAGGAGCACAGTGCTCGTGCTGGCCCTCCCTGGGTCCCTGCGTGTCGCTGGCGGCATGTGGAGCCCAGAAGAGCTGTGACCCCCTTGTATCCATTCCCATCTGTATTTCAGCTTCCCCTCCTTAAAAATCCTCCTGTTTCCAGAGGCCCTGGGTGGATTTTGCTGGTAGGTCTGAGCCCTATGCTGGGACACTCTGGATGCACAGTTTGTCCTCAGCTGAGACGGAGATGGATGAGGCAGCTCTGAGCAAGCCCAGCTTGCTGCACTTGTCCCCGCTGCGAGAAAGCAGATGTACCTGGCTGCTCCAACGGGCTTTCTCTGCTTCTGTTTGTCTTTCAGGGTTGACAATAAGAGCAGATTAATTCATTCCTTCTCTCTCTCAGAGGCCCAGGAGTTGTGTCTGGCTCTGCTGCTCTGGGAAGGCTGGCAAGAGCTGAGCCTGCCCTACAGAGGGTGGTCTGAGGGTGGTGGAGCAGGGCTTGGGCTGGAACCGATTTTGGTGGTTGGCAGAGTGGTCAGTGACTGTGGCAGACCACGAGGCATGAGAAAATACTGCTGGGTTTACTGGGGGTCAGGTTTGGCTCTGGTTTACACTAAACAGGAGCTGGGCACTACCCTCACCTGCTTTAAAAGGATTTCTCTCTTCCCCTAGCTGCTTGCATGATCCTGGATCCCAGAACAAGCATTTGGGCTGACCCCACTGAAAGCCAGTGCAGGACTCTGGGGACATAGAGAGGGTGGCACAGCTGACACAAGGCAGGCTTCCCTCTAGCCACATTGTGCCCCCTGATGACAGGACTGCCACACGGGGAATGGGACACCTCTGAGTACAGTCCATCTGAGCAGCCAACCTGCTCCTGCTTCTGCTCCTCCTGTACCCAAACAGCCAAAGCACAGAGGCTCATTCCCCTCTGTGCTTTCCCCTCCTACCTCTCCTCTCTCTCAGGTATGTACTGGGTACCAAGCACTCCCACCAAGGAGGGACACTCATCTGATGCCAGCCCAGAGCCTGGAGCAGCCAGGCTTGGATGAGGTGCCAAGCTGACTCCATTGCCTTCAGCCCATCTTCCCCCCAGTCCTGCTCAGCACCTTGGGCATTTGCAGATGTGGTTTTATGGCACAATAAAGGTGTTACTGTCACTCCTGCCCTCCCCGTTGCTGTGCTCTGATCATGAGGGATGACCATCCCTGGTGCCATGAGGCTCTGCCAACATATCCCAGTGTGGGTGGACTGGTGACCCAGTGTAGGGTCAGAACAGTGCCCACACTGGGACACTTTGGACAGTGCTGCCAGTGTCCAGGATCTACAGACAGGTTCAAATCAAAACAGCTCCTGCTATTGCCTGTGCCAGGAGACCTCCAGCCTTGTACTCGATCACTGCATCTTGAAGATGGAGCTGCACAGCCGGGCTCTGGGCTTCTAGGTCCTGAAAAAGCACATCTTCCCCTGGGCAGGGCAGGACCGGGCCGGACCGGGCTCGGCTCACTCCTTCCTTGACAGAACTGAGCCTGGGGTGGCGAGACCAGGGCCGGGAACCGGGTTGATGCAGCTCCACGCAGGCCCGGAGCGTGGTGGAGCCCCCGCCCGCGGAGGCGCATCCCGCAGCATCCCGATGTAACCCTTCTCCCCATGACCGAGGCACGGCTCCCGGGGGAATTCGCCGTTCCCCGGCACCGCAAGCCCCGAGGGGACCTCGGGGACCGGGACAGGGCGGCCGGGCCGGACCGAGGCCAGCGCGGGCGGGGATGTGCCCGGCGTGGGAGGGGTCGGAGCGGCGAGGGGCTCCACCTCCCGGGGCTTAAAGCCCGGAGCGGACGGGGGTGCGGGAAAGTTGTGCCCGCGTTGCCATCGGCTCGGAGCGGCTCCAGGAGCGGCAGCGGCGCGGTCTGGGCTGCCGGGCGCGGGTGCCCTTCGGGGCGACACCCCCCGCCCACCCTACAGCCCCCCTGCCCTCGGTGCTGGTGATGACCCTGAACACGCAGCCCGGGAGCAGGAGCCCGCTGCGGCGGAGGGCCAGCACCCCGCTCCCGCGGCCGGGGGGCTCCGGGGCCGCCTCGCGGAGTGAGCCCTTTCACCCCCAGCTCGGCCACACCGCCTCCGAGCCGGGCGGCAGGGCCCCCCGCGGCAGCCTGTGCCCCGACTCCGCGGGCTCCCCCAGGCTCAGGGAGCCCCGGTACCGAGTGGTGCTGCTGGGGGACCCCGGCGTGGGGAAGACCAGCCTGGTCAACCTCTTCGCCGGCGTCCAGGAGAGGGACCCGCTGGACCAGCACGGAGGTGGGTGTCTGCTGGGGGGATCTGCTGCAGGGTCACCTGCGGGGCATCCCGTGGCCCCATGATGGGACAAAGCCATGTGCGAGGCGGAGGAGCCCCGGACCCTGCTGGGAAGCGCGGCTCTGACCGAGCTCTCCCTCCCGGTGTCCCGCAGGGGTCGCGTACGAGCGCAGGCTGACCGTGGATGGCGAGGAGACCACGCTGCTGGTGCTGGACACCTGGGAGTCAGAGCAGCGGGTACGGCGGGGCTGGGTGCTGGGGAGAGCTGGGCGAGCCACGATGTGCCCGGGGGACATTGAATGGGCACAAGTGCTGTCTTGGGGCCTCTGAGCGCTTTGAAGGGCAACCTGGGCCCCCCCTGTCCGTTTCTGGGGCTCTCCACCTTGGAGCACAGGATACACACTGGGCAAGACAGGCTGGGGTCACATCTCTGCACAGCTCTGTGCCCATCCTCCCGGTGGGTGCTCCCCATATTCTCACTGGTGTGGGTTCTTATATGATAACCCACTTCAAAATGCATGGAAATGTTTGGGAATGGGGCTGAAAGATCCAACTGGGTAAATCCACGAGTCGGTATCACCAGTCAGAACACTTTAACAGACAGAACAATGCACTCAAGAGCCTGGCATGGGGCATTCCTCATGCCCAGAACATGAGGTATCTCCTGGGCAGAAATACCAGTGCTGCTGTCACTGCCTCCCTCCAAACACCTCCCTCCTTCCCTTCCTGCCAGGGCCCTGCATTCCTGTAGGTGCCACCCGGGAGTGGGAACAGCGTCAGTGCCAAGCTGTGGACAGGGGTGCAGCACCCACATGGACTGAGCTGTTTGGCACTTACCTGCACTGCCCAGAGGTGCCCCAGCACTGTGACACCCCGACAATGGCCCATTTTTTTCCGCTATGGCTTATTCCCACACTGCCCAGCACTGCCAGGGTGCAGCACCCACCACACTGTTCCAGGGCATTCCCAGGGGATTCAGCCTCACCTCCCCCCACCAAAGCTGAGCCCACAGCTCCAGTTTGTTGTTGATAGAGAGGAAAACTCCCAAACACTCCCCTCAAAATCAAGAGCGTTTAATCTGCATTTAATTAATAGGGTAACACACCTATTCACCACAGTGTGGGGGCCGGTGGGGCGTGCCCCATCAGTGCCAGGGTGCTCTGCTGTCCCCTGGAAGTGGTCATGGCCACAGATTGGTGACATCTCATTCCCCGTGTGGTGACAGGATGAGGAGAGCCAGCGGCGCAGCCACTGCCTGCAGATAGGGAATGCCTACATCATCGTTTACTCTGTCACTGACCGGGACAGCTTCGAGAGTGCCTCGGAGCTGCGCATCCACCTGCGCCGGGCACGCCAGGCCGAGGACATCCCCATCATCCTGGTGGGGAACAAAACTGACCTGGTGCGCTGCCGGGAGGTGTCTGAGGAAGGTGAGTAGGGGGTGAAGGCTCTGGTGGAGACCTCCTGAGGGGGCTCCGTGCCCAGCTGCTTCCCCTGCCCCTTGTCCCCTTGTCCCTGCTGTCGTGCATGTGGCAGTGCCTGTCCCACAGCACCTGAGATGCCCGCAGGACTGTGCCCTCTCCCTGCCCTTCCCTTGCAGAGGGCCAGGCCTGTGCTGCTGTCTTTGACTGCAAGTTCATTGAGACGTCGGCGGCTCTGCAGCACAATGTGGACGAGCTCTTCGAGGGGGTGGTGCGACAGATCCGCCTCCGCCAAGGGGGCAAAAAGTCCCACCTGCACCCCCCGCCCGGCCAGAAGCACAAGGAGAGCCTCGCTAGCAGAGCCCGGCACTTCCTCGACAGGCTGGTGGCCAGGAACAGCAGCAAAGTGGCCCTCAAAGTCCGCTCCAAGTCCTGCCATGATCTGTCTGTGCTCTGAGAGCCACGCTCCTGTCCCTCCCCACGCGCCGGCTGGGACTCTGCTCTCTGCCAGCAGTGTGGCCAGTGGCTCTGTGCAGAGCTCAGACTGGGCTGCAGTGATGCTGAGCACGTGGAGCTGTTTTCACTGGTGCTGAGGGATGTGAAGGTGCTCTGGATCCGGCCATTCCCTCCAGGAGAGGGGATAAGTGGGATCAGGTCCGTGGAGTGGAGGATGGGATGGGTTCCTGCACTTGGAGTGGTGAGGTTTTGGATCACAGCTGCTCCTGCAGAGCCAGAGGTGAGGGGTGGCTGTGCCCCAGAGCTGGGCTGGAGGCTACCAGGAGTGTGGCAGGTCCCACTCGCAGTGCTGTCCTTTGCAGGGCAGCAGGGACTGGCAAGGGCACTGGGCATTGTCAACCTTGGATGGCCTGGAGCCTGGCTGGGAAGAGGGGGCAGGGGAGCACCAGCAGCATCACCTGGCACCCTGACCCTGCTGTGCCAGGGCTCTGTGCCATGTCTCACTGGCAGCAGTGTCTTTCTGTGCTCTCTCTGTACTGGTGTGATGGGAAAACCCTTGATCTGCAGAATAAACCACATCAGGGAGGTGCTGTTCTCTGCTGGGTCCCTGCCCTGGGGAGCCGCATCCCAGAGCCACAGGGTCAGATTGAAGCTCTGTTCCTCGCCTATGCCAGGGCTGAGGATCTGCTTCCTGCTCTGGCAGGCCTTGGCTGGCTCCTCCATTAGCTGGACCATCTTGGGGCAGGGAGAGCCTCTGTCAGGGCTTCCTCCACCTTGGTGGAGGTCCCAGTTCCTCACCCAGTGGTCTAGCATCGTCCCCTGTGAAGCCCTCTGCATTTCCCAGCTCTGGAAAAGCCTGTGGGAAGGGCTGAGCTCTGCTGAGCTGCAGGTTTAAAGCCCTGAGCACCGTGGGAGCCGCAGCCTGGGCAGGGATCTGGGTGCTTGGTGGCTCCAGGAAGGGGCAGGGAGCAGAATGGCACAGCCAGGAAGGGACGTGCTTGGCTGCAGCAAGCAGGGAATGACCCCGGGCACCCAGGGAGGCAATGCTGGAGCTGTGTGGGCTTTGCCTGTTGTTTTTAGGCTGCGCTGCCATCCAGCAGCTGGGATACCATGGGGGAACCTGCTCAGCATCCCAGGCCCGGTGCCAGGGAGGATCAGCTGTGCCTCCTACTCGGGTCGGGAGTTTCCACTCGCTCTGTGGGCAGACTGTGGGGAACCACTGGCTGTGGCTGGCACAGATGGGACACTGGGATGTGCCAGCACCCTGTCCCTATGGGAAACTAATTTCTCCAGAGGTGCAACTCTCAAGTTTTGCTCTCATAAATGGGGTGGTGGGTGCTCAGATTTTTTTTTTTTTTTCCCGTGCTGCTTAGCCCATGGCATTGCTGCTGCTCTGCTCCCGCTGCTCTGCCCTGTTGCTCCCGGCTCGGCGGTTCCTGGCGCTGCTGGAGGCGATGCTGAGGTTCACACAGCGTCAGCCACGCCGGGGCTGGGGGCTGCACCCGAGGGACGGGGGCTCCTGGCTGCTGCCGTTCCCTCCGCAGCTGCAGCCGGTGTTTCCCTGTGGCAGGAGGCGGGGGAGCGGGGCCACGGCATGGAAAGTTGGCAGCCGGCAGAGAGGGGAGTGGAAAGAATGAGCTCAAACCCAGAAAAATGCGGCCGTGCTGGAGGGTGGGAGGAGAGGCCAAGGGGGGCCACGGTGAGGCGCTGGGAAACGGAGAGAGAGTGGGAGGAGGAGGGAGGGTGGGAGGAGGAGGTGCTGGCAGGGGGCCAGGGGCTGCCTGTGCTCCCCATCTGGGCCCGCTGCTGGCGAAGGTGGTGCCAGGTCTCGGCGGTACCAGCTGCTCCAGCGAGCGCTCTCGGGGCTATCCCAGTGCCATCAGCCTCTGGGTGGCCCCTGGCTCCAGTGCTGTCTGTCCCTGGGTGGCCATCGCTCCCAGTGCCATCCATCCCTGGGTGCCCAGCAGCCCTAGCACAGTCTCCCCCTGTCCCAAGGACTCCTTGTTGCCATCAGCCCCGGTGGCCACCGTGGGACAGCAGCCCTTGACTCCTCCATCTCGCTCTGCACAGCGACGCTGCCCTCTGTGAGGATTCCCAAGCCAGGCTGGGATTCAGAAAGGGGCAGAAAGCTGTGTTGTGCCAGGCTGGGATGCAGGGGAAATGTGTGGGCACGCTGCCTTGTGCTGCCCATCCTGCCCCGCTCTGGGAACAGCAGCTGCAGGGAGAGGGCAGCATCCCGGGCAGGAGGCCAAGCCCGCAGAGAGGGGCTCCCAGGAGGCCTTCCCATCTGCCCTCCGCCTGAAACACGGAACTATGAATCACCCCGCTCCTGAAATAGATCCTTTTTATTTAAAATATAAAATTTAAAAGACATTTTTAAAAGAAAATTAAAGACTTATGTTTTAATCCCTGCTGTGCTCCCGTCTCCTGCCCATGGCTCAGATCTAAACTGGGGGCAGCACCATTTCACTGTGCTCAGATCTTCACCAATTTTGGCCCTCAGCAGACTTTCATCCTGGCGAGGAAGAGGAGGAGAAGGCTTGGTGGCACAGCCGAGCTGCCAGTGGCTCGTAGTATTTGTGAGGAAAACACACATTTCGGCCAATTTTCCAGCAGAGCCTGGTCCCAGTCCAGCGCGTGGGCAGAATTTGCTGCCATTTATAGGGAATTTTACAGAAGGGCTGTTTGCTCACGGCTGGGCTGGGAGCAGTCAGGGGGAGCCTCAAGAACAGGGGTGCAGGTCCTTGGAAAGGGTGAAGGGCAGGAAAACCCCGGGCAGCGCAGGAGCCCCGGACCCGCTCGGGGCGATGGCACCAGGAGCTGCCGCCTGCCCGCCGGTGCTCCGGGGGGTTGCGGCAAACCGGGAGCCTTTCCCACCTGGGGCGTTCCCTGCCCTGCACACAGCGAGGGCCGGGCCGGGCCGTGCCGGGCCAGGGCTCTGCCCTTCTCCGGGCACCGGGGCCGCCGGGGCGGGGCCGGCTTCAGCGCCGCTACGCGTGACGCACTTCCGCTCGGTAAGGGGACGTGTCGGTGCGGACCGCGGTGGGAGCCGCCGCCATGGAGGAGCCCGCGGCGCACAACGGCAGCGCCGCCGCGGCCGCGCCCGGGGCCGGGACCCCCGCCCGCCCGCCCGCCACCCCCGAGGGCATGGCGCTGGCCTACGGCAGCCTCGTCCTCATGGCGCTGCTGCCCATCTTCTTCGGGGCGCTGCGCTCCGTCAGCTGCGCCAAGAGCAAGGTACCCCCGCGGCTCGGGGCAGCCGGGCCTATGGGCCTCGCCTCTCCCCAAGGGTCCCCTCCGGGCGCCCCGTTCACGGGAGGACCGGCAGCTGCATGGCCCCGGCTCCGGCCCTGGGTCTGGAGGCGCAGGGAAGCCCGGGGGAGAGTTGGCTTTTCCCCCGGGGCTTCTCCAGCCACTCCTCAGCGCCCCGATAAATTCAAGTGCTGCAAAACACAAGCGTCCCTTGACCCTCCTCAGGAGGAGCTGTGCGGGGGGACTCGTGTGTGGCTGTGCCCCGCGGCACTGGGGCTGGTCCGGGGCTGCTCTCCTGTCCGCACACCCTGTTCTGCCCTGGTATTCCTCTCGCTGTTCTCTGCGTTTCATAGCAGGGACTTAAATCCCAACAGTTGGGCTGCTGTAGCTCAGGAGGAAGGACTGGTTTACACAGTCTGATCTATTACTATTTTTAAAATCTCCTTGTGTGCCCTTAAGCCTCATATCAGGGGCTTCAGCTGATCTTGGGGGGCTTCTGGCAGCCCAGGCAGTGGGGGGCTGTGAGCAAAGCCCAGCCGTGGTTCAGGGTGGGGTTTCTCATCCCTCACTCTGCAGGGAGCAGCAGGAATTTGGGCACAGTGTGACAACTGCCATGCCCGGGATAAGCTGCATGAGGGCTTTTGAGGTGCCCTGGATCTGTGCTGGCCGCAGGTGTTTGCCTGAGTGAGATTAAATCTCTGAGCAGCAGCCAGCTGGGCCTGGAGCGGGCAGGGAACAGGCAGAAAACAGGCAGCCCTCTGCCTCCTCTGAAAGCCGAAGGTCTCCCGTGGGAAATGGCTTGAAAGGGGCTGGTTGAGGTGGTGCAAAGATGTCTTGGAAGGGGTTTATAAATCTGGGGCTTTTGAGCACGAGAAGTGTCCCAAGAGCAAGGTGAGGGATGGGAAGGTGGCTGGAGAGAGGCCTCGTGCACGGGGTGATCACAGATGGTGGCACAGATGGGGCTGGCTGGGCGTGAGCGGTGAGGGAGCCCAGCTCCCCTCTGGGCAGGGGAGAGCAGAGCAATGCCAGAAAAGGATTTTTTCCTTCTCCAGGAGGAGAAAAGCAGTAAAATTTGGCTGCCCTGGGAAGGACAAGTGCAAGGTTTGTGTTTTCCAGCTCAGGCTCTGCCTCTGACCCAGCCTCACCTCCAGATTTGGCAGGGGCCAGTGGGTGTTTTGTCCCTCCCAAAATCACTGTGGAGTGTTATGTGTTGTGTCTGTTCTCCCCTTGTTCAGGTGTGAAGCCAGGGCAGGGGCTGATCCATTCCTCTTCTGTCCTTCTCTCCCCAGAACTCCTCGGAGATGCCAGAGACCATTACCAGCCGAGACGCTGCTCGCTTTCCCATTGTTGCCAGTTGCACCCTCCTGGGGCTCTACCTCTTCTTTAAAGTAAGTGAGGGGCACTGGAGCCGGGGCAGGACATCCTCCTGCCTGGCAGGAGCTCCCATAACAGGGTGACTCTGTTTTTGGCCCTTAGTGTTGGGACAGAAGGTGTGGAAAGCCGCACAGATCGAGCTCTTTGGTGTCACCGTGCAGGAGGACGTCAGTTCTTGCCTGAATTGTCACAGCTTGGGGGAAATCAGAGCCTGTTTGTGCACAGGTTGTTTCTGGAGAGCTGCCGAGGAGCAAATAGCCCTGAGCTCTTCCTGCCTCCGTGGGCCAAGCTGGCAGGGCACAGGCTGGAGCCAGAGGGTGCCAGGGTCTCTGAGGGGCAAATGCTGCTGGCTCTGTGTTGTGTTCCATGCTGTGCTCCTGGAGCCATTTCAGCTGCAGGCCTGGGGGAGCCCCTGTGTGATCAGGTGGAGACTTTTAGACGTTCAGAGCCCACAGCAGAGTCAGATGACTTGAGAAATGGATGGAAGCTCTCAGCAGCTCATGCTTTAGGTGGTGTGGAGAAGATGTCTTGGCCTCAAGCACCTTGGGCTGCCCATGCAGGTCTGGCACATGGCTGAGCTCCCAGAGGGGTCTGGGGAGCTGCAGAGTGGTCCTGTGGGCATGGCAGCTTCCAAGCTGTGCTGTTTTGGGATCCCTGCAAGGCGCCAGGGTGCTCCTGGCTGGCCAGGAGGTGAGGGTTAAGGTGCAGAGTTGGGAATGGTGCAGTTCAGTCCCTTCTCTGCCAATGGCTGTGTGCCCTGTGCTCTCCTATTCCAGCATCCCCCTTCCAGGAGGGCACAGAGGGCCCCAGGATCCCTCCACACTGGTTTGTAGGAGTGTGATTCAGTAGGGGACTGTGTGACTTGGAGGGCAGGAGTTTTAATAATGCCCTGCTTAATTAGGGCAGGGGATGCTGCTGCTCCCCTGGGCCTGGGCAGCCCCTGGGAGTGGTGCCTCTCTCCCTGCTCTGCAGGGGAAGCTCTGGCCTCCTTTCTCCAGCACTGGAGTTATTTTTTGACCTGAGCAGCTCACAGATGCGCTACAGCTCACGGGCCCATTGTGCTTGTTCTTTGAGCACATGGCTATTTCCAACATACTCTCCTTCAGCATGCAGGAATTTGGGTTATTCTAGCTATTCTTCTTATTTCCCTGGAGCACTGACACAGCAGCTGCCAAGAGGAGCATGAGGATGGGGAGGATGCTGTGGTTACTAACCCCTCTGTGGTTTTGTCTTGCAGATATTCTCTCAAGAGTACATCAATCTTCTGCTTTCCATGTATTTCTTTGTGCTGGGGATCCTGGCCCTGTCCCACACTATCAGGTACAGCACAAGGATGGGTGTGACTGGGGCAGGGCTACCTAAAGCTGCAGTTAATTTTATTTTTGAGATTTTTGAGCCTTTTCTTTATATCCAACTGAAGCCCCTTTTGGCACAGTCCTTGCTGCCCTTTAGAGGGGAGAGCTCTTCAGCACCCTTACTGGGTGAGATTTTTAGAGCACCACTGCCCTGAAGCAGAGCCAGGTCTTTGGGGTATTTGCCCAACCTATTAGGGAGCTGTCCCTTGGTGGTGGGAACCAAAGCCCTGGGGGTCCTGGGAAGCCATACACCAGTACTGGGACAAAGCCAGCTCACCCTAAGGAGATTCTCTGGCTCAGAATCAGAATCTTGAGTTGCAAGAGATCCACAAGGATTGAGTCCCAACTTCTGACCCTCCACAGGACAACTCCAGAAATCCTACCATGTTCCTGAGAGTGGTTTCCAAACACTTCTTGAAATCTGGCAGGCTCAGGGCCATGACCACTTCCCTGGGGAGTCTGTAACAGTGCCCAGCCACCCTCTGGGTGAAGAGCCTTTTCTTTATATCCAACTTAAGCCCCTTTTGGCACAGTCCTTGCTGCCCTGCAGAGGGGAGAGCTCTTCAGCACCCTTACTGGGATGGGTGACCCAGGCAGCTGAAGCTCATGGTAATGTCCCTGGCCTCTCATGGCCGTGTGTGGCACGAGGTGTTGAAAGCTCAGGCTGTTTCAGTAACTGAAAAAGTTGAACTGGTTCCTGTTTCATGAGCTCTGGGGTGTTGGGGACCAGTCTTTCCCTAGACTGGTGCTGGGCAAGGGCTTTGCTCTGCTCCTGACTCTGCAGCAGAGCCAGTCAGTGGTGGCCCAGCCACTGCTGGGTACCCAGAGGGTTGCTGGGGGCATAGGGCATTTGCTGGGGTCTGGGGTGGGTCCTCCTTTCTTGTGGATGATGCTCTGTTTTCTTGCCTGGAGTACTTGGGGGACTGTCACGTGTAGCCAGATCAGATCTCTGTGCAGGATGAGTTGCTGTGGCTCCTGCCAGTCCCTGATGGAGCAGATGGTGTTTCCCCTCTTGGGAGGGGGTGTGGGGCCCCCTAAACACAGAGGTGCTGGGCAGCTTGTGAGGTTTCTGTCAAACTGCCCTTCTCTACACCTCTCGTTTCAGCCCCATGATGAACAGATTCTTCCCTGCAAATTTCCCCAACAAACAGTACCAGCTCCTCTTCACCCAGGGCTCCGGGGAGAGCAAGGAGGGTACGTTGGCTTTCCAGTCTTTCAGGGGAGCCTGAATGTTTTCTGCCTTTACTGTTCCTTTTTTTTGTTTTTTTTTTTTCTTTTTTGGTCTTATTACTCTCAGCCCATTGAAACAACCTTCTCAAAGGCTTGCCTCTTGCTCCCCACTGAGCTTCCATAGCTACTGTGAGCCCCATGTATCCCTGCAGAGCTGGGCTGGCACTCTGCGCTGCCTCTGCCTGGCAGGGAGACCCCAGAAACACCTCCCAGAGTGCTGTGGGGATGGAGCTGTGGCTGTCATTAAATGCACAGCTTTTATTTAAGCCCCTTGGAAAGCATAGGCCTGACTGGTTTGTGCTGCCTTATCTGGGCCAGATCTTTGCACTGGCAGAAGATGCTTTGATAAGTATCCTGCCCTGTAGTAGCTTTCCTGGTAAGGGAGTATTTCTGGTGATACCACCAGGAGTTAACTGGCACAGGAAGAAGGAGAAGATTTGTCTCTCCCTGCCTTAGGCAGTGCCTGAATCCAATTTCCTTATTGACAGCAGGACCGTGGATGCTGTCCATGTGCAGAGTCTGGCTGAAGGAGAAGGTCTGAGCTTTGCAGAGCCCACTGCTCATTCCCAGGCAGTTTGCACGTGTGTACCACGGGTACAGTCCCCTTGTTTGGGATGTGAGCACTGGGCTCTGGGCTCCCCAGATGTGGAATCACTCATCTCAGCCCTGCATGGGAAGGGGAGCTGCCCAACCTGCCCCAAATCTGACTTCTCTCTTTTCTTACAGAAATAGTGAATTATGAGTTTGACACCAAGGATCTCGTGTGCCTGGCCTTGAGCAGTGTTGTGGGGGTCTGGTACCTGCTGAGAAAGGTAAGTGAGGCACAGCTGGGGACTGGGCTGGATCAGACACTGACTCATTTCCGTGCAGGGTGGGGGTTCCATGTACAGCAGGACCCAGATCTCCTTTTCTCCTCCTCAGCACTGGATTGCCAACAATCTCTTTGGGCTGGCATTCTCCCTCAACGGGGTGGAGCTGCTGCACCTGAACAACGTCAGCACTGGCTGCATCTTGCTTGGGGGCCTCTTCATCTACGATGTGTTCTGGGTAAGCAGGAGCATTCTGCAGGCCATTGGTGGAAGTGTGTGCCTGGCATTCTGCCTTTCTGGAGGCACCACGCTGGCTGGACACACAGTTGAAGTCAGAATTTTCGGTTTCTCAGCCCAGAGGGGTGTGGCAGGGTTGATGACAGAATCCACAGTGGCAGAATGTAGCTCATCAAGTGTGTTTTCTTTAATTCTTTCACTCAGTGAGCCCAGGGCTGGCAGGGACCTCATGAGAGCTATTGTGGGGTACTCAGTGTGTGTCATATCTGGTCCTGTATTCCCCATTACGGTCTCCCCAAGGCCTGACAGCTGTTGGGTGGGCTGGAGGCTGCTCTGGGGCACACTGAGCCTGCTTGTATGAGCTGTGCCTTGGCTCTGTCATCTGCTGGTTTTGTTAGTGTCCTTCTGTTCTCTTGCACAGAGGATCAGAAGCTGGAATGCCTCCAGCCCCTTTTCCTCAGCCAGTGCTGCACCCTAACTTTTTCATTTTGAGGTTTTCCTTATTTCTTGCAGTGCATTTCAGCTGCTTTTGTAGAGGAAAGGGGGGGCAGGGAAGGCAGGAATGTGGCTGTGTGCTCTGTTCCATGCATGAGAGAATGTTTCGCCTTGTAATGTCCGTATTCCCCAGTCCTTCCTGCTGCCTCCACCTTCTGAATCCCCATGTTTCCAAATGTCTGAGTGCCTTGTATACATTGAGGTCTGTCCAGCAGCTCTGCAGCTGCCTGTGTAATCCCTCCTTATTTATGCCTGGCTACTGTGGGTTGTTTTGTACTTGGCCGGTGGTGCCTCTGTTTCCCGGGCTTGTTAACAGTCTGGGCTCTGTGGTTTTTTAGCCTGTGGGCCACTTCCTGTGCAGCTCTCAGCTGGAGGGGACTCAGCCTTCTGCCTTAGTACACCTGGTGCCTCAGGCCCTGCTTAGTGTGTGAGTGTCTTCCCAGTGCTTTGGGGACACCGAGTGCACCCCTCTGCTCTCCACTTGCTGGCTGTGTCTCACCTTGGCTTCCCCATGGATCAGAGTATTGCTGGAGGCTTAGGGAAAGGCTGCCTTGAAGTGGAGGCCCTGGTACTGTGACCCCTGCAGGAACTGGTCACTTGGATCTTGGCATGGATTCAATCACAGTGAGATCCCAGGAGGGTTTCAAGGAGGAAGGAGATCTCAGTGGGTTGATGCTGTTGCCCCCACATAGTTTGGGGGTACACGTGGTGCTTTTCCCTGATCCCAGTGTCATGTCCTGTCACTCCATGGCAATGCTCAGAATTTGCTGCACCTTATGGGAGTTAATCTGATGCTTTAAGATTTCTCTTTAATCCAAAGCTCCAGGATCTTGCTCACCCAGTGCTAACCAACACCTGTTTTTGTGCCTGTTGGACTGGAGGCTTAGAGATGGCAAAGGTGCAGAGATCAGAGTGGCTGCCCTCAGTGTTTACAGTCCACCCCCTAAATGCTGCCAGTATTTACAGCTGATAGGGCCGTGCAAGTAAATGACCTCAGAGCAAACTGCAGCTGATCTGACACTTGCCCTGTCCCTGCTGGAAGCTCCTGCCCTCCAATTGGATGTTACATGGAGCTGACTGATTAAAGCTGAACTGAGGAGGTGCAGGGCTGGGTGTTGGGCAGCAGCTCTGCCATGGGAGTGCTGTCCCCATGCTGCTCTGAGAGCAGGACAGCCATGAAGCAGCCACCTCCCCCAGTGCCACCGTATGCCTCCTCCCTGGGCTTGCTTGCAGGGCTCCTGTGCCCACATTTTGGCAGGTCAGTGGCTCTTTTCTGCCACTGAAGCCACTCCTAGCCCTGGGGTGAGGCTGTAGCTGAGCATTGTGTGTGTGTTCCTGTGCAGCTGTGGTCACCTTGGTCTCCTTCTGTTCTAGGTCTTTGGCACCAACGTGATGGTGACAGTTGCCAAATCATTTGAGGCCCCAATCAAACGTGAGTAGATCTTCCCTGTGTGCTGGGGTCCTTTGTGCTGCAAGCCCTGCCCCATGCACCCTCCACCTCGGGAGATGGTTCAGGCTGGGATGTGTGCAGGAGCATTTCCTGCTAGTGACCCCTCCTCCCTGTCACTGGCCAGCCTCAAGCCAAGGCAGGTCTCTGGAAAAGGATGGTTTGCAGTGCCCTGATCTGTCTGGGTCATTCTGCACCTTTGGAGTGTGCAATTCCACCTGCTTGTAGAAACAGTCCATACCAAATTTAAAAAAAAAAACCAACCAAACAAAACAAACAAAAAAACCCCCAAAAACCCCACAGAGCCCCAAAACAGCGGGAGGGCTGAACTGGTGCTGCTGTGTAGCGTGCTGTAGTTTGGTCCCTGGTTTCTTGTTCTGGAATTGTGCCAGAAAGAACAAGGAAAGCTACAGGGAAGGAGGGGGCTGAGGGCAGGGACAGGTTGTCCAGCTCTGGTTCCTGTTTGCCAGGCCCGGTGGGGCTGGGGTCTGCTCAGTGGGGACAGTCCCCCTCACTGTGCCTCACTCTGCTCCTGCAGTGGTTTTCCCTCAGGACCTGCTGGAGAAGGGGCTGGACGCCGACAACTTCGCCATGCTGGGACTGGGAGACATTGTCATTCCGGGTGAGGACAGAAGGGGGAGGACGGGACTGGGGTCTCCTTTGAGGGGGCTGCGGGGAGCCGAGCAGGCGCCTGGCTCTGCCCTTGGCCCGGCGCAGCCCCGCGCGGGTGTCCCGGTGGGTTGGGAGCGTCCCGGTGGGTTGGGAGCGTCCCCGCAGGTCCCGAGTGTCCCGGTGCCGCGTGCCGCGAGAGGGCACTGTCACCCCGAGCACGGCACCGAGCACCGCGGGGCCTGCCCTGCCTCCCTCAGCCTGCCCTGCCCCTCGCTGTCCCTGCCCTGCTCCTCTGGCCCCTCGCTGTCCCTCCTGTGCCACTTGCAGCCCCTCACTGTTTCCTTCTCCCTGCAGGGATCTTCATTGCCTTGCTGCTGCGGTTTGATATCAGGTGAGCAGGCGGCAGGGAAGGGTCTCTGGCAGGTTGGATCTTGCAGCATATTTGAGCTGCTTTTGTTAAGGAAAAAAGGGAAAGGGGAGCCAGGAGTGCAGTCGTGTGCTCCTTTCTGGAGCTGGATGTGCAGACACACCAGGCAGTGCAAGGAAAAGCTCTTGGAAGAGGGGGCTGGCTCTGGGGGTACATCCTGAGCACTGGGGCGAGTGGTGGAGTTCAAGCATAGGAAGGGTGGGTAGCAGAGGGATGGGGCTCAGGGCAGCAGCAGATGGCAGCCCCACAGAGCCTCAGCAGCTCCCTGGAACCAAGGAGTGGAGGGCAGTGAGAGGAAGCAGTGACAGCATGGGAAAGAGCTGGAGGTGCTGGCACCTGGGAATGCTCGCGTGGATGCAAATGGGTGCCTGGCAGTGCTGGCTGCCTCCAGGTTGCCACTGATGTTTGAGGAAGCACCTCCTTCCCACACAGGGAAGCTGCACCTACAGCTGGGCTGCAGCAGTTGCCCCACACTGAAAGGCTCTGGGGAACAGGGTGCTCTGTGACCGTGGTGGTGTGGCCCCACTCCCACTGCTCTTGCACAGACCCTCTGGTCTGTGCCAGCTCTTCCAGGTGTTACCACCCACATCCTGCCTGCACCTGCTGGGAATCCCAGTTCCTGCAGCCTGCCCTGGGATAAAATAGTTACTGCTGAGAGCCAGGGACAGGCTCCACCAAGACAATGGGATCTTCTCCCTTGGTGCTAGCCCTAATTCCTCCCTTCCCAGTTGCCATCCAGCAGCAGTATCACCTGCCTTCTTCCCTTCTCCAGCCCCTCACCTGGGTATTACTGCCTTCAGTCCCACACTGCTCCCACAACACCAGGGGCTGCACAGGCAGAGCATTGCTCTGCACACTCCATTGTGGTGGGAGATGGCTAAGAGTACCAGGCCAATTCCATTTTGGTCACTGGCATTCCAGACCAGAGGTCATTGAGCTCTTCCCTTTCCCTACAGCCTGAAGAAGAACACGCACACGTATTTCTACACCAGCTTTGTGGCCTACATCTTTGGGCTGGGCCTCACCATATTCATCATGCACATCTTCAAGCATGCCCAGGTGAGCTCCACCCTGCTGCCTCCTGTGGATGCACATCCAAGTGGGTCAGGCCAGCTTGGCCACAAAGTTCCTGCATCCTGCCAGGAAAAAGCAGATTTATTTCTTCTCTTGGCTTTGATTTTCCAGTGCTTGCCTGTACCTTTCCCTTCCTAAAGCTCCTGTGCCCAGCTGGAGCAGAAGCCTGCTTGGGGCAAGGCTCCTTGTTTCCAACAGCAGCCTCTCAGCCAGGGGCCCTGTGTTTTTTGGCTCTTTAACCAAGCTGCCCTGAGCACCAGGGCTGTGCTGCAGGGGGCTCTGGGAGCCCATACATTGTGGGGCTCTCAGTGTGTTCACAGCCCACTGGGACCTTACAGCGAGGATTTTCACAGAATTTCGGAATGGTTTGGGAAGGGACCTCAGAGACCATCTTGTTCCAACTCCCCTGCCATGGGCAGAGACACCAACCACTAGACCAGTCTGCTCCACGCCCTGTTCCAACCTGGCCTTGAACACTTCCAGGGACTGAACATCCACAGCTTCTCTGGGCATCTTGTGCCAGGATCTCACCACCCTCACAGGAAAGAATTTCCTCCTAATATCCAATCTAGCTTCATGCTGCTGCAGCTCTAACTTAGCTCTTGGAGCTGCTTTTTGGGGTGTTAACTCCCTGTGTAGCCAAAGGGATGCAGGATCGTCGGTGCAGAGGGGACAAGGCCATGAGCTCGCCTTGCACTCCTCCCTCAGGGTGATTGTGGTTTGGTTTAACTGTTGTTTTCCTTCCCCACAGCCTGCGCTGCTGTACTTGGTCCCTGCCTGCATTGGATTCCCGCTTCTGGTGGCCTTGGCAAAGGGAGAAGTAACCGAAATGTTCAGGTGAGCCTCAGCTGGCCGTGGAGCTGTTTTGCCGGCGGCGCTGGAGCCCATGAAGCGTGCAGATGTTCCCACGCCTGGGCACAGCTGGAGGGACGGGTTCATCTGGGCATGCTCTGGGTGTGCACCGGCACGTGCGTGGGTGGAGGGAGCTGAGCTGTGTTTGTACATGCCGGGCCTGGCTCCAGCCGCCTCCCGGGAGCTGGGTGGGAGCTGTGCTGTGCTACCAGCAGGCAGCACCTGGGATTACCCTACGCCCCAGTGACAGACTCTTCCCATGAGCTGGCAGGCAGGGGAGGGTGGGACTGCACACCTGGTGTGGAGATACTTGGTCATTGTGTCCCAGGGCCTGTGGGTGGGGAGATACGGAGCCAGAGGCGGCTGTGAGAGCTGCCAAGGCTGCTTGGAGCACATCCCAACCTCCCCAATTGGGCAGAATCTCCTGGTTTTTAGTAGTCTTCCTGCCCCAGAGACTGTGGGTACAGAGGAGGGGGGACTGGGCTGTTGTGCTCAGCTGTTCTTGGAGCCTGTCCAGGCTGTCAGTGGGCAGCTCTGGCCTCCTGCCTGAGAGCTGTTTCTCTGTCATGCTCGAGACTTGGTGGTGGCTCAGCACAGTAATGATGGTTGATGCAGAGGAGGGAAGGGAACATCCTAAAGCAGGGCAGTGTACCCTCCAGCCTCCCCAGTGCCCCAGCCTGGAGCGTTCCTGAGCTCCCAGCCTCCTCAGAGGGAAACTGGGCGCAACGGGAAGCCAGCTGTCCTCCCTCCTCCCTCCCCTCCCCTCCCCTCCCCTCCCCTGGGAGATGCAGGTATGCATGTTCCCAGCGGCTCTGGCTCTCAGCTGGGCCGTCCCCAGCCCTGCCGCACCTGCCCCTCCTTTGATGTTTGCTTCTGACAATCGCTGCTGCAGGCACTGAGTGTCCTGGGATCGTCCTTCCTGTGCACCTGGGATCCTGCAGCCGCTTTCCCCAGTGCTCTGACTCACCAGCTGACAGCAGCAGCAGCTCCTGCCAGGAAACTGGGGAGAGATGAGCTGTGAGGCCGGGCCCACTGGGCAGCAAGGAGCACAGGGAGCCTGGCAGCCAGGGGCTGGTGCCCTCCCAGAGCAGTAGCACAAGCTGCTCCAGCAGCAAAGTGTTGCCAGGGCAAGAGCAGCATGCTGGAGGGTTGCAAACTTGATGGCCCCAGGGGGCCAGACCTCCCTTGAAGTTGCTCCAGTTGCAGGCAGAGGAAGTGGGATAAGGAGGGATCAATGCCTGGAGGGCAGTGGCTCCCACCGCAGGAATCCCACCAGGTGTAGGTTGCTCTGTTGTGATGCTTTGGTGTGCCCTGATTCTCCCTAGAGCTGTCAGTTCCTGTGGTCTCTGTCTGCACATGGTGTCTCACAGCAGTGAGGGTCTGCAGGCAGGGTGGGAGTGAGCAGAACTGTGCTGCAGGCCCAGGGAAGGTGTGCTAGTGGAGCAGAGGTCGGTGACATTGGGATCAGCTCCATGGCTCTCAGCCTTGCCAAACCTCCCTAGGCTAGGCAGGAAACGCCCTCAGCAGTGGGAACCCATCCTGCTCTCCACATCTGCTGTGGGCACACTGTCCTTGAGCGGCAGGACAGGGTCTGCTGCATCCCTCTGTCACCTGCCCAGCCCCTGGGCTGCTCCACTGCCACCTCCCCACTGCCCAGGCTTGCTCTCCCTAGGTTCTGGCTGCCTGGCTCTGCTTATGTCAGTGGGAGCTGTCTTATCCCTGAGTTTCAGTGCTCACTTTTCCATGCTGCAGCCCTGTCCTGGAGTCTGCAGGCAAGGAGAGGGTGCAAGCAGGTGAAGGGGCTGCACAGGGTGGTGCATTCTCGGTGCTCTCACTCCAAAACTCTTCTGCTTTTTCTCTCTCTTCCCCCCCCCTCCTTTCTGTCCTTGTCTTTCCCTTCCTGCTTCCTCTCTCTCCTGCAGCTATGAATCTTCTGCTGAAATCTTGCCTCACACACCAAGACTTACCCACTTCCCCACGGTGTCTGGCTCGCCGGCCAGCCTGGCTGATTCCATGCAGCAGAAACTGTCCTGTCCCCGCCGACGCCGGCAGCAGAGCCCCAGTGCCATGTAGCACTGCCATCAGGGCCCCTTGTCTGTTGCTCTGGCCAGGTAGGGACAGGTCCTGGCCCTCCCTGGCCCAAGCTCTCCCTATTCCCAGCTCTCCTCACTCTGTGGGTAGAGGCTGGAGCTGTTGCTGTGCTGCTGTGGGTCCGCTTCTCTCCCATTCTGAGAGAGAAGACTGGGAAGGGCAAGAAGATTTGATATCCCAGACCTTGTCCTTTCTGCTTGGAGCAGCATTCCCATTTCCTTAGCCAGAGCCCTGGGGCCACTGCTGGAGGGCGTTTGCAGCCAGAGGAGTGAGACCCTGGGAGGGAACACTGCTGTTGGTCTTGCTGCAGTTCCCCTGTTAACCGGCCCCACTGGCACCAGTGCTCAGCCAAGGAAAGCATGTGCTATCCAGGATATCCAATAGTGCTCTTGGGAGCAAGGACAGATCCCTGGGCACAGAGCTGGCCCCTGGCTGGGTCCACCCTACCCTTGGAGATGTCTGGGGGGAACACATCCCTCATCTCCCTGCCTGGGCTCTGCCCCATGGGGCTTCCTGTGCTGGGTGCTGATGGCTGGAGCCCACCTTGTCCTCAACAGCAGCAGGGCAGAAGCTGAGGCCACAGGCTGGGCTATCCCCATGTGGCACAGGGCTCTGTCCCCAGGGAATAGCTGGCCCCACTCATGTCCCTCTTGTCCCCAGCTACGAGGAGAGCTCAACCCCTAAGGAGGCAGCAGGGGCTTCCAAAGAAGAGCCAACAGAAGCCTCCAAGAAGGAGAAGTGACCTTGCCCGTGGGCCATGCCCGGTGCTGCTGGGCTGGGGCCCTTCAAGACCCTTTGCAAGTGACAGACGACGAAACAATTGTGCAAGAGCATCGTGTTGTGTGTGTCGGAGCAGCCACCCAGGTGGGGTATCGATGTATGCCGGTTTTTAAATTTTGTATTGTGCATTTGCTTTCTCTCATATTAAACCATATTGAAGGAAGGAGTGCTGGTGTGGCCATGCCCCTGCTCAGCCAGCACTGGGATTGGCATCAGCTCACCCGCCTTCTCCCACTGGAGCTGGTGGCTATTGTCTGGCTGTTTCTAAGTGACCAAGTGACCGTCCCCTTCCCCCTCCCACTTCTCTGGCACTGGGCCTTCCCCCAGCCTGGCCCCTGCTCTGCAATACCCAGATTTAGGGCCGGAGCCACTGAGCCCTGTGTGAGTTTGAGCTGGGATCTGGCCCCAGAGAAGGGTGGCTGATCAGGGATTGGGATGTAGGAACCCCACAGGATGGGAATGTGCTCTGCCTCAGCTGCTGGGGTGCTCAGTGAGTTGAGGCTAACGCCCCATGGCCTGGAGGAGCAGGAATGGGAGGGGTAGGAGAGGGTAACCTCAAACCCAGCCCTGGAGCAGGGTGAAGACAGTAAGGATTGTCCCCCATCCTTGCAGGGAGCCAGGCACAATCCTGCACCCTTTAGGGCTGGGATGGGCAGAGAATGCTGGTACAGGCATGGGGGCTGGAGGGGCTGCAGGCAGGGGCAGCTCCAGCATTCACCGCAGCTTCCACTGGGACCAGCTGCCCTGTGTCCTGCAGCACTGGCAGTGTCCTCCCTACCCCTCCTGGAGGCCCACATGTGGAGGATCCTGCATCCCTTCGGCCATGCCCACTGCCAGAATAAATAGAAAGTGTTTGCTGGCTTGGCAGCTTCTCCACAAAAGCCGTATTGAACCATTATTCCCTGCGCCGGCTGCGAGCACTAAAAGTGGCGCCTCGCGTTCTGCCATCTAATGACCCTTCGCAGGCTCCTACAGATGTTTTCTATGACTTACAGCTCCTTTTCCAACAGCCCTGTCCGCAAAAACAAGAGGGGCCACTTTAATTCCAATTAAATACCTCCAGCTAAGCAAACAGTGTGCAGCAGGGTCTGGGTACAGCGCGGCCGCCAGGCCCAGCCCACCGAGTCACTGAGTCTAGACTCCAGATGTGATTTCACCAGCCTCCAGTGTTCCGTGGAGAAGGACTTGGGCTCTGCCGTGGGGTGCAGGACCCTACCCTGAGTCAGGACCCCACTCCCCAGCCTGCTGTGTCCCTTGGTGTGAGGCTGGGACTGCATCCTCCCTGGCTTTGTGTGGCAGGAGCTGCATCCCCATGCATCCTCCAGAGGCCCCAAGAGTGCAGGAGCAGACTGGGGGGTGCACAGGGTACCCCCCATGCCAGCATCACCCTGCTGCCCTGCAGAGCTCCGAGCAGCTCCTGCCTGCTCTAGGTGTGGTGGAAGCATGGCTGGGAGCTTTCCCAAGGCTGCAGGGAGCGGAAGGCCTGGGAAGGGGAGAGCAGGGTCACCCCTCACCCTGCCTGGCCGATAAGCCGGGGCTGGCCAGGAGGAAGGAAGTGTGTTGGGCCCTGCAAGGAGCCGCTGCTGGAGCCGGCACTTCAGCGCTCCTGGGTTCCCTCGCCCGCTGCACCTGGGCCTGTGGCACCTCCGGTCCCGGCCGGGCTGGGGCCACACGGCTCCGCTGTGTCTGTGCCGCTGCTGGGCCACTTTCCCCTCTCCACAGGGTCCCTCCGGCTCGGTGGGGACTGCGGAAACAGGGATGTGCCGACTCCAGCAGGAAACCTCCGTCCACTTCACTGCGCCCAGCTCGGGCAGGGGCCAGAGCTGCCTGTTCTGCTGCCAGCACGTGGGGTTTGGGATGATCCTCACCCATCCACAGCACCTCATGGCAGTGGTGTAGATGCCCCTTGGCCAGGGGAGCTCATGGGCACATACCCCTTGTGCCAGGCTCCCACCAGGAATTGTAGTGGGGTGGGATGGGCTGAGCTGGAGGTGCACAGGATGCAAACGCCAGGCAAGGGGAGGGTGGTTTTATGTTTGGGGAGTGCTAGTGCCTGGTGTGAGGGGGGACACACCAGGGCTGCTTGTCTTTAGAGCCCTGTGGAGCCTCCCCACCGCAGCAGGGTTTCGGCTGGGTGATGACGAGTGATGGGTGCTGCAGTTGTACCTCATGCTCTACCATGCAGGATGTGGGGTGCTTTGCTGTGATGGTGGGTGCTGGTGATGAGTTCTGGGGTCCCACAGAGTGGTGGGTGCTGGTGGTGAGAGCTGGGGTCCCGTGTGATGATGGGTACTGACAGTGGCGCCCGGCCGGCGGCTGTGAGCAGGGAGAGGAAGCAGCCCAAGGCAGCCCCAGTCCCGGTCGGCCGGCGAGGAGGGGCAGGAAGCTGGAATAAATCCCAGGAAGGGCTGCCTGGCTCCAGCTGGTCTGGGCTGCAGCGGATGGAAGCTGGGAACGGGAAGGGAGAAGGCGGGAGGGGAATGCGCAGGGGCTTTCTCAGGCCTCGGCCCCGCTCCAGCTGTGCCGGCGGCCCCGGCACATCTGCAACCCTGGCTCAGCAGTGTCGTGCGGACATGGGGGGGTGGAAGCTCTGTGTAGCCTCAGGGGTGACCTGCGGATGGCACCGGGAGAGGGGATCTGGATGGAGCCCAACCCCAGCCAGTTTGGGAGTCCTGGTCACTGGTGGGGGCGCAGCCTGACCTGCGGTGTCCGTGCTGCCTTCCAGCCCTGTACCGGAGTGTGGTGCTGGGTGCTGCCGCTCCTGGGGTGCCGGCTGTACCCCATTCCCCCATCGCAGCAGCACAGGCAGCCCCTCGGCGGCCTGGCCGGCCGTGCCCTGTGTGGTCCCGGCGGGGCGGGGGCGGCCGGGGGCTTTGATGTGCTCGGCTGCCGGGCAACCCCTGCTCAGCGCAAAGCAGCCGCCCCCCGGCTGCCCCCCCGGCCGGGCTGAGCCCCGCCAGCACCATATGGCCGAGGCTGCTGTTACCGCGCCGTGAGCCCCGTTCCCAGAATTGAGATGGAAATGAAGCTCTGTGTTCTGCCGGACAACACTGCTGCGCCGGCCCGCTCGCCGTGCCAGGCCAGGACCCCGCGGCCAGCTGTGGCCAAGGCAGCGTCCCGGTGCCACGCTGGCAGCCCTGAGCCCCGCACCCCATGCCCAGCACCCCAACATGCAGAGAGATGGGGCGAGGGTGTCCTGCTCTCGGGGCATCCAGTGGGCTGGGGCGGCTGGAGCGGCTGTGCCGGGGCGGCTGTGCCATGTGTGCCACGACACCCATCACGGCCACGAAATCCGTCCTCGTCCTTGTCCCCGCGCCGCTCGGGGTGGCCGGTGGCAGGGGCGCGGGGTCCGGCTCGTCCTGGCATTGTTGGCGGCGCAGCTGGCGGTGGCGGCCGGCCGGCCGGCGGCCCTGAAAGACATTCCTGTGCACAATGTCCCCGGCCTCCCGCCGCGGCCCGGCCACTGCCGCCAGATGGGGGCTAATTAGCAGCTTTGAGAGCCGCGGTGGGAACCGGGCAGCACCGGGCCCTCCGCCGAGCCCTGAATGGAGGGGGCGACCCCAGCGCGGTGCCCACCCTGGGAACCGCCACCGCACCAGGCTGGGGGACACAGGGAGGAGGGACAGAGGGAGGGACAGGGGGATCCAGCTCCCCCAACCAGGCTGGCAGGGCTGGAGTTCATGCATGATCTCCAGGATTGCTGCCCTCCCCAGAAGAGGAAGAAGAGGGGAGGCCTTCAGCTCCCCGAATGCCTGCGGACGTGCGGCAGGTTCTGCCCCCCCCAGCCAAACCCCATAAAGGGCTGGGAGAGCTGTGCTGACACTCGGGCACACGTGTTGGTGTGCAAGGCAGGGTGTACGTGTGCAGAGCGTGCATGTGTGTACACGTGTGTGTGTGTACCTGTGTGTGCGTCCATCCGTGCGTGCCTTTGTTGTGTGCGGGTACTTGTGGCTGTGTTTGGTCTCCACAGGGTTGTGTATGCGTGTGAACGCTCCTGTGCACATATTTGGGTATGTCCCACACACATCTGTGTGTGCAAGCACGTGTGTGTCCACGCCTTTGTGTGCACACGCACACCCACCCTGCATGTCTGTGTGTGCACACACCCGGGAGTGTCTGAGGCTCAGCTTTCCCTGACTCCCTCCCTCCCTTCCCACACCATTTCGTGCTGCTCGGGGTGTGCCGGGGTCTCGCTCGGGGGCCCTCCCCGGGCGCTGCCTGTCCTCCCCGCAGGTGCGGGGTAATTAGCAGGAACGCTAATTACAGCCCGGACCAGAAACCCTTCGGGGCAAGGACCGGCTGCCTCGCACGGTGGCGGGACCTCCACGGGTTTCCCCCGCGGCAGAACCGTGCTCGCAGCCCCGCGCTGCCCCACGCACCCAGCCCGTCCCTCGCGTGGTCCCGAACCGGGTGCCCCCCGCCCCGGCAGCCGCCACCGAGCAGCTCTGCGGAGGTTTGAGCCCCGGGAGAGGGGGGGAACGGGAAACTCCGAACTTGGGCCGGGGGGCGCGGAGCTGTCCCGTGTGAGGATGCCCGTGTGTCTGTGCCACCGTGGGGCCCCCGTGTTCCCCTGAGAGTGCAGATGTCCCCCGGGGGTCCCTGTGCCGCCTGTAAGGTCCCGGTGCCCGTATCCACGAGAGGATGCCAGTGTCTCCGTGGGAGTGCCGGTGTCCCGGTGGGGGTGGCGGTGTCTCCGTGGGGGTCCTGGTGCCCCCCGTAGGCGCTGCAGGTGTGTGTCCCCGCCCCGCCCCCGTCGCCATGGGCACCGCCCGCCCGGCGCCGCGCTGACAGCGCGCGGCGTTTTATGAATGGGTGACGTCACGGCCCTGGCGTCTCACGGTCTGAGCCGCCGCGGGGCGGGGGGGCCGCGGGGGGGCCGAGCCCCGGAGGGGACGCGGGCGAGCGGGGCTGCGGGGAGCCCGACACCGGGAGCCCGCGGGGCAAGGACCCGCGCTAACTGCGGGTACGGTGGGCGCTCCGCACCGCTGTAGCCACCGCACCTCCCTGCCCCGCAGCCCAAGCCCGTCACGGCACTCCCTCCGCCATTGCCCCTTTAAGACGCTGCCCTTTGGGGGGCTTGAATGGAGTGGGCGGGGCTCTGTCCGCCTTTTCCGCGCTGCCATTGGCCGAGGGTTCCCTGAGGCCCCGCCCACCCACGGCGGCGCTCTATAAGTGCGCGGCGGGGCGCGGGCTCCTTGTCCGCCCGCCGCGTCCCCGTCCTGCTCGCCGCGCTCGCAGC